GTAAAAAGAGGAGGTTATAGAAAATCTGTGAACATCTCACTCAACAAAGCAGACGGTGTACATCCAGGACCCCTACTTAGCTTAGTCATCACAAAACAACTACTCCTTGATACATACAGAGAGTGCTATCATATTGCAACAGAGGCTGAAGAAATACAACTCCAAGTCTCAGAAGAAGAGCTGTTGTCACTATTCTAGTAGCAAAGAAACTGAGGAAAAGAATACTGAAGACAGAAGCTGTAGTAAAGGGTTTAGGTGAGTTTATCTTATCAGTCTTTACTACATGCACTCAACGATCAGAAGTATCCACATCCTCATACAATTCAAGAACTCAAGAATAAGTAACTAACAGACAATACACCAAGAACAAATTAACATCACTATACTGTATAAATAAAATGCGTTTCAGCACCAGCTTAATCATCATCATAATCACAATTGTAAAGTACATAGCTGTAGAAAAAGCAGAAGTAGACCAACTACAAATACTCAGTGATGATGAAACCCAGATCAAACAGTATATAACAGCAAACAGCTTGCTAACTGTGATAAAACAGCGCAAATCACCAAAATCAAGACCATACAGATGCAACTCGATATCATCATACTTAATATTAATACTATTAGCAAATGCAAATGATGTCAACCCAAATCCAGGACCAACACAACACAACAACAGCACAATATACCCCTGCGGCACATGTGACCAACCTGTCACCTGGGACCACAGAGCTGTCAGATGTGACACATGCGACCAGTGGTTTCACATCAATTGTCAGGACATTCATAGTGGCACATATAGTTACCTCACAGCAGACGAAAACACTGCTTTAAGATGGGACTGCATTGTTTGCGACAGCCCAAACTACAACTCATTGTGTTACGGCTCAACATCCATCCAAACAGAAAACAGCTTCAGCCCACTGGAAAATACTCTTAACAACAGTACTGAAACACAGAACAGAAAGCCACTACATTCGTCAACACCAAAACGAAATAATGTAAAGGAAAAACATAAGCCCTTTACACCATTGCGAATTTTGAATGTCAACTGTCAGTCTATTAGAAACAAACAACACCAAGTTGAAAACATCATAGATAGTACCAAACCTGATGTTATAATAGCAACAGAAACATGGCTAGATCAATCAATTACGAACAGCCAAATATTTCCACAAGAATATAATATATATCGCAAAGACAGGAAAGGAAATAAAACCGGAGGAGGCGTCCTAATAGCCATAAACAACAAATATTTAAGCTCTGAGGTACCAGAACTGGACACAGATTGCGAGATAATTTGGGCACGGATACAGCAGAAAGGCACAAAAGATCTATACATATGCGCCTACTATAACCCAAAAACATCGGATGTTGAAAGTCTTCAAGCATTTGAAACATCAGTCAGAAGAACCAACGCAATAAATGCATGCCAATTGATCGGAGGGGACTTCAATTTGCCAGGATGGAACTGGGCAAACAAATGTCTATACCAAGGAACACAGCACACAGAACAACATTACCATTTTGCAGAAATCCTTGACGACAACGGACTAACACAGCTAGTGCAAGAGCCTACAAGAAACAAGAACACTCTGGACCTCTTGATCACTAACCGTCCATGCAAAATAATGAGAATAGATATCATACCAGGAATATCAGACCATGACATTGTATATGCTGAAATGAACATCAACCCAGTAACAAACAAACAGAAACAACGAAAAATCCCTCTCTACAAGAGGGCGAAATGGGACAGCATGAAGGAAGATATGAAACATCTACACAACGCTATTCAACAAGAAAGCAATACGGATAGACCAGACATAAATATGCTATGGAAAATGTTTAAAGACGGTCTTGAAACAAGTACAAACAAACATATACCAGCAAAAACCTGTAAGACCAAAGATAAGAACCCATGGATTACACGGGAAATAAAATCACTCATAAGGCGAAAAGACCGAGCATATAAAAAGAAAAAGAAATCAAACCATCCTGACGATTGTGCAAGATTTAAAGAACTAAAAAAGACAGCACAGAAAAGCCTAAGACAAGCATATTGGAAGTATATTGAAAGTATCATCACCCCAGAGAATCCTGAAGAAACACATGCCCCTTCTAAAAGATTTTGGACATACATCAAGCACAGAAAAAGTGATAAAAGTGGAGTGGCACCTCTAAGAAAAAATGGTAGCTTAGAAACAGATCCAATCAACAAAGCAAACATATTAAATGAACAATTTCAATCTGTATTTTCCACAGCAAACAACATCAGCAACAGTGAATTCTACAATCAAAATCATATGTCCGACTCACCAGAAAATTACCCTGACTGTAGAGACATCCTTATCACAATCAACGGAGTAGAAAAACAATTGAGAAACCTTAACCCACACAAAGCCGCTGGACCGGATAACATCAGACCAATGATACTCAAAGAACTTGCCAGCGAAATCGCTCCCATACTTACCATCATATTTAATGTTTCAATGGAGACAGGCAAAGTTCCAGATGACTGGCGGACAGCTACAGTCACACCAGCATATAAAAAGGGTCAAAAGTACATCCCAGCAAATTACAGACCAATATCTCTTACATGTATTTGCTGCAAGATCATCGAACATATTGTTACCAGCCATATTATGAAACACGCAGAGGCAAACAACATCCTTTATCCACTACAACATGGATTTCGAAGTAAGCGATCCTGCGAGACGCAACTCTTAGAATGCATTGATGACTTAACGAAGTACCTTGAATTGGGAAAACAGTCTGACCTACTGATACTAGACTTCTCAAAAGCATTCGATAAGGTATCCCATAGCCTGCTCCTACATAAACTCAATCACTATGGAATCAGGGGAAAGACCAACAGCTGGATAGAAGCGTTCCTGACAAATAGAACCCAAGTAGTAGTAGTTGAGGGTGAACAGTCAGACAGAGCAAAGGTAGAATCTGGAGTTCCACAAGGTTCAGTCCTAGACCCTAGTCTATTTTTGTTTTACATAAATGACCTAGCGAATGACCTAAAATCAACAGTTCGTCTCTTTGCTGATGACACAGTAGTCTACTTAACCATCGCCTCAGATACTGATTGCCGACACCTACAGTCAGACCTTGATAAACTGGCACTATGGGAGGAAAAGTGGAAGATGGAGTTTCACCCAGAAAAGTGTAGCGTACTGACTGTCTCCAGAAAGAAAAAACCAATCAAATGGGACTATGTATTACATGATCATGTACTAAAACATGAAACATCAATTAAGTACCTGGGCTGCACCATCACAAGCGAACTAGACTGGGGAGAACACATCAACAACATTACCAGCAAAGCCAGCAGAAGCCTTGGTTTCCTCCACAGAAATCTACACATCGGCTCTAAAAGCATCAAAGAGCAAGCTTACAAAACCCTAGTAAGGCCCCAACTAGAATATGCCACAACAGTATGGGACCCATATCATCAGAAACATATTGACCAAATTGAAAAAGTTCAAAGGAGGGCTGCGCGATACGTCACCAAGCGCCACAGAAACAGATCAAGTGTCACGGACATGATTAATGAATTGGGTTGGAAAAGTCTCCAAGAACGACGCAGAGAGGCCAGGCTCGCAATGATGTACAAGATCGTCAACGACAAAGTAGCCATCAACAAAGACATGTACCTCCAGAGACCAACCAGAGTATCCAGACATACACAACAGCATGGATACATGGTACAAACAGCAACCAAAGACTGCAGGAAATGGTCCTTCTTTGTGAACACCACCAAAGACTGGAACAAGCTTCCCCCGGAGATCGCCACAGCACAGTCATTTGAGACATTCAAATCTCAAATGACCAACCTTACAAAATAAGATGAACATTTGTTTTTATCCTGTTTTTAACCATGCAGAACCAATTTGCCAGTATATTCAGAAAGTTGAATGTGGGCAGTATATGGAAGAAGAAGAAGAAGAAGAATGCGCCGATCACGAAGAACGAAAATAACCCATCAGGACCCTCATTATATAAATCTTTCGGCTCAACTGCAAATAAAAGTTTAAAGAACCTGATAAAGCGATAAAAATTCAAAGCATCTTGTTAGATGTAGTTGTACAAACCCTTTGGAATGGACTAGAGTTTCTGACAAGATAGTAAGCCGAGGCTAAACCACTGACACCACCACCTAAAATAACAGCAGTCATTCCTCTCACATGTGTCGAATTTCAAGTTATCTCCCCTTTCAATGTTCCTGTTTATTGACGTATGGCGGGAGATATGATACTGTCTGTCTCCTTGGAATGAAAACAATCTCAAATATAGCTGTGTGTGGTAATATGAATACAGATACATTGTCTATTTTCCAATTATATGAAAGTTGAAACAATAGGTATTTATTATTTAATTTATAGCTGAACTTTTGCAGAAGAAGAGAAAAAGGGAGCTAGAGAGTCTGGATCATGGATGGGGTTTCTAATAATAGTAATATCGTTGATGTACAAAAGGAATATCAATCTGTATGTACAAAAAAAAATGTATTCGCCGAAGATACCAATTCTGGCTTTTTCTCGAATGAACATTAAAATGTTCCTTTAGGTACTCCTGATTTCTAAAAGGCATATTTTCTAGATGTTGCACCTTACACTCACTCACTTTTCACTCACTCAGGAGGTCAGCCAAAATATGAAGTATAGAGAAAGTGCATAAAATTACATTATTATGGAAGAGCATAAAAAAAGAAATTCATTGGTGCCAAAATTTTGGGAATCGGTCAAGCGGTTCAAAAGTTATGACCATTTAGATTTCAAAATTTTGGCCGTTTTCCTTGCGAAGGCAAAAATATCATATTTTGGGCTATTTTTCAGGCCAAATATATCAAATGGGTTAGGAACTGCAAGCAATCTATATGCATTATTGCAATAAGACTCTTTTATGCTTTGATTTAAGCCACTATAGTCCTTTGTAACATCAATATTAAGAAAACTACAATATCTCAAACTTTGTAAAAAAAAACTTTCGACTTAGTTTTTTTTTGCTATGTGTCAAGGGCATCTTTGAATAAACTGCTATGTTAAGACATTGATATCTTGAAATGGAAAGCAGGCAGAGGTCTGGTTGTTTGCAGTTATGTAAAGACCTAAACAGTCAACAGAAATATTTTAACAGTTGTATTGCCAACATATCTGAATTTTTTTTTAGCCGACTCAAAATCATGCCGGCAGGCCCCCCTTTTTTTAGGTAGTTTTTTTTGGGAAAAAAATACATTTTTGGTCAGACAATGCTGGAAAAAAATCCCTAATTTTTTCTACTACTTGTTTTGTATTGGTATTAAGTTGTTTCACAAATAAAATAAGCTCTGTAAGCTAATAAAAAAAAATTGAATTAGAAAATCAGCATTTTGACGTAAATTTTTGAGCTATTTTTCGCCAAAAACACACTAAAATTTACACAAAAACTTAATTTCATAATTTGACAGTAATTTTTCACAGAAGTTAGTGACTGTTACTGTGACTTTACATGTAAAAGCACCTTTTTGTCATATATAAATAGAATTTAATGCAATACAAATTTAAAAAATGGTCAAAAATAAGAAATGTTTTGACAATTTTGAAAATCACGGATTTTTTCAAATATTTGCGCAGTTATGCAAAAATTTAACGGAAAATTGAAGATTTTTACACATGTTTGGTATCATACTAAAGCTTACAATCTTAGCTTTCAGATGAACCTAATTTCATTGTATTTGACTGATTGATATTTATTCTAGATGGAATTTGGTTAGCCCTATACCTGCATGAAAAAAAACTGTAATTTTGAAAAATCCCAAATTTTGACCGAGAAAATAAAAATAATCCATTTAAACTCTAAGAGTTAAGTCATTGTTTAGTCAGACATTGCTATAATGATGTTTTCTCTTGGAAAATGTATTATTTACACTAAAATATTCTCATTATTCAAAAAAATTGGTAAATATTTTGCGAAAAACCTGTTATTCCTATAAAAAATGGATATGTCGAGAACTTATTATATATAAAGACCAAGATCAATGCAGTCTTTAAGTCTAATAATCCATTGGGATTTGCAATAGTGACTATCTGAACTGTTTTGGTATTCATTATAATAATGATACATTAACTATTCATCATTTGACTAAGTTTATTGAATGTTCTAAAGTATATATTTTCAGGTCCGAGCTGTTTCTTCACCAGAATTTACCATATCTACAATAGACAATATGTACATTATACAAATTAAATATTTTGTATTTGTTCAATTAACTTGAGAGTACCTGCAGTTTCTTACAATTCATATAAAATCCGGTTTACATGCAATCTGAAAAAAAAAGACTTTTTATTTTTGAGATTGGCTGCTGACAAAGTGGTTTTTCTGGATTTACCGTCATCAGAGATGCTCCATGTCAAAATAAACAAATAAAACTCAACTAGATATCATTGAGATGGGAGCCATCTCTGTGGGCCCCGCTGTGAATAATGTGTGGTAAAAAATTTGTATCTTTATCATTGGACATGGGGTTGTCAACTGAAACCAAAGTTTTTGACCTTGACCTTTGACCTAAGAAGTTGTACATAAATTATGACACACCCTCTGGTGTTGTTTTTTATACACATATCAAGTATAAACTTTGAAATCATAATGGTTCTCAAGATATAGAGCGGACACGATCTTTACCATAGGACATGGGGTTGTCAACTAAAACCAAAGTTTTGACCTTGACCTTTGACCTAGAGAGATGTACATACATTATGACACACCCTCTGGTGTTGGTTAATATACATGTCAAGTATAAACTTTGAAATCATAACAGTTCTCTGGATATAGAGCGGACACAATTTGTTAAGGACGGACGGACAGACGGACGGACTAATCACTATATGGCGTCCACCATTCGGCGGGGCCCTAATAAAGGTCAAATCAATTTGCTGCAACCATTCTACAAATAAATCATTACAATATGATAATTAGTACCCTGGATAAATTTCTACAAAAGAAGAAAAATAGGTTAAGAAACTAAAAGAAAACTAAAAGAATTAGTGCTGAAAGACAAGAAAACAATAATTAATCTTGCTGAAAAATAGTTTGTCTATAATAAAATCTACACATCTCCATTCTGGTATTCCTCTATATATAGTAGGCTTCTTGAAAACATTGCTGTTGCTGTCATTGACATCACCCCCTTCTCAAAGTCGTATGCAATATATGACAACCCTGTATCTGCATCATGCCCTGTGTACTAAAACTCCTTCACATCAGCCTCTCGACAAAATCTGTGGTCTACTCGTCTTACCACAATAAAAGCTGGATCCAGGGGCGCCTCTCCATGTCGTTGTTCCCTAGAGTGTGCCCTGTCCTAGTGGAAAACCTTAAGTTAATCAAAATAAATCTAGACTGTTAAAAGTAAGTTCTAAATCTTAAACAGAATGAAGAAATTTATTAAGGTCAACTCATATACATGTGTGTCCCAGTAATAACTTTGTTTGTGGAGATATCGTTGCTCATTTTTACACTGTATTTAATTCTTTTTTTCCCGTATCATATTATATTTCTGAATCTGTTCACTATGCTTCTTCAAAAAATTTCTTATTTTTTGTAGTTTGGAAAAAAATGAAAACAACATGTTATAAATTTTGTGCGTCCAAAGTGCTTTTCTGGATTTACCTTCATCAGGAACATATTAAGATGCTTTTTAACTGTGATTCCCTATAGAGAACCCTTTATTTTACTTCTATTAAATGGTTTGACTGGTGGTATTATAGCACTATCTTTAAGCATTGTATAAATTATTTTTTTTAAAATTTAAAACATTGTGCAGAAGAAATTTATTTAGCTGAGCTGTAGAATTATATAATATTAAATTCAAATCATACACATACACATACATGTTCAGGATGTGCTTCATCCATTCTTTCTAACCAATTCACTGTATGGGTTTTGAGTCCAATATTGGTATTTCCCTCCAGGGCGTTGGTATAGTGACTCTCCACATGACTCTGATGAGACTGTCTAACTGGGAGAAGATCCTTTCAGGCAGATGGATGGACAGACAGTATCATTCCTATAAACACAACAAAACTTTATTGTATAATAGACTAACAAATTCAATCAAATTTCAAATAATCTGAATTTTTATTATTTTAATACAAAAATTGTTCAGAGGAAAACAGATTTTTAATCCTGATCATATTTGTAGATAGTCATAAGGTACATGTGTTATAAGTAACCACAGCATCTGCAATTCTGTTAATAACTTAACTGTCAGTTAATAGGCATCAATATTAAATTACATAATAAAGTAAAAGTGACAATTATTAAATTCAAAAGTCAAGGAATAAAATCAAAAGTTTGAATATAAATATAAATGAAAGATGCAAATATCAACTAAAATTCTTTATAAACAGTGTGCATATTTAAGAAAACATCTACAATATTGTTTATTATGACCAATTAGTTAAAATAACATACTCATGCTACTGTTGAAAAATCATAAATATAAATTTTTAATGTAATGTATAAAAGTGTGCAAATTATTCTTCCAAACTGTCATATGTATACATTTTTGACAGAAAGCATTTTTGAAAAAGAAAATTTTAGTTCATTATGCCTAATCCATAAGTTTAGAATAAATATATAGTTGGTAATATACTAATCTATGGTTTAAACAACATATTCCTGTCTCAAAATGAAAAAAACAAATGTAATGTGTTCAAATTATACCAACTATAATCAACTGCAATGTAAAGCACCGAAAAATCCGAGTATTATCAATGAATAAAACCCGAGAAATTCCGAATGGATCACATTCCAACGTTAGGAGAATTTACCTCATTACATATTCATAGCTTGATAAAAAGGCCATGGGGAGCGTTTAAAAAAAATTGCTGGTAGAAAGTCCCTTTCAATTTATAAGTTTAATGTATTTAAACAAAAAAATACATCCTGGAAATAATTTAAAGTTATTTTTGTTGACTTTTATGAAACAAGGAATTCCCCTCCCTGAAATATGGCAAATTTGCTAATATAAGATATAATAAAGGTACTTACCTTACGTGATTGGCCTCCGTGGCCTATTTCCAACGTTGTCTGTCCTCTCAGTAAGCAGTCCGTCCAAAAAATAGTCGGTAAAAGTCATTTTGTTACAAGTTTCATGTTTCATGTTAGACACAATGGCGGATACGTCACTTCCGGAAGTCAAGAACAGATAACTCTTTTCGCAGATTTTTTGCGTGAAAACCACGCCCTGCTCATACAAATATCCAATCAATTCCGCAAGCCGCTATTGTTTTCCATGTGAAACCATGGATACGTGTGGAAGGAGAGAGTTCTGGAATTTATGAATCCGAGTGTCAGTGGTGTTTACAAAGTCGTAAACGATTTTTTTTTCACATCTATTTCAAAGATTTTTCATATCTATACTGAAAATCGACCGTTAAGTATGACTGACAACCGGATCATAAAACTTGAATATATTTCCAAAATTTTAAGCCATCAATGAAGAAAATCTGACGAGTAATAGCTTGCGGAATGAATTTCAAAATCAGTAGTACCTTTGACACATAGTTTTTCCGGCGGCCATTTTTTTCAAAACAACTCCACTTCAAACATTTTTTTTATCGAACCAAATCACTGCAATACCCATAAAACTTATATATTTAGAAAGATAAATGTCTGAACTTTAATTACATATCAATTGTTTGCTCATACAATATATTTTTCACCTTTTTCAAAGCAATTGAACTTGGGTAAAATCCGATATTTTTGCCGTCGCAAGGAAATCATTACGTTACGATAATCGCATTGGCGACCTCACAGCTCTACATGCTGTTGACGTTGCTTGAACCAACCCTTGATCCTTTCAGGTATTTTGCCTATTATTCCGTAATGCTCTAGTTTCCGTAAGTGGTGCATGTGTGGTACTACATGAAACGCTCTGCTAAAGTCTAAAATTAGCATATATCATGTTGTATATATGTGATATATCTACTTGCTCTTAATGTTATCAAGATATTTGAATCTGGGTCTGTTCACCAAAAATTACTTTCGCTCCCATTTACGTTCGTCCAAAATCATGTTTGCAGCCTTATTAAAAGTTTGGCAGTGTTTTCAGTAAGTTTTGGAAGAAGAGGAAATATTTTCAGAATTGGAGGCAAAATCATTGTGGCAAGTTTCATCTGTCCTTACAGACCAACCCAAACATCGTCGGACCGCAGGTCATGACCTGTAAAAAACTTGAAGGTGCGCCACCATCCTGTGAACTACAGGACCTCCTGTCCTGTACATTTTTTGTAGCATGCAGTATTAAAATTGGGAAAAATGTGCTGCTACATGTATTTCAAACACAAAATATTGTTTTCCTCCCGACATCAATAAAAAACAATTGTCCTTGTATCATTCAGGATCGGGGAAATACCCTAGTCATATTTATAGAGATATATGGGCAACACAAATAGTAACCCAATCAGAATGCAATAATATAAAAAGCAGCCAATGAAATCACGCTTCCATTGACACGCTGCGAGATTTTCTGGTCAACTATTTTTATGCATTCCCTGAAAATCAGCATTTCTAATGTGACTTCTTTTTTTATAATATAAGACGATTTTAAGGCTCACTGGCTTGTCCCCTACTGCTAAAACCCTTTCAATTTGAATATTTTGAAGATTTTGTATCTCGATTGTCATGTCTGCTGCGTCAGTTTACGGCATTTCTTTTTTCCCCGGTTCATTACGCATGTAAACAATAACATGAGTTTCCTCCGTTTTTATGATGGGGACGTGCCTTGTCAAAAACGGAAGGCCGATGATGAAAGTACAGGATGAATCCATGAACTCAAATAAAATACTAGATTATGCCAAAGAGGAATAAATTAAGATAAAGTCTTAAAAAATGAAGTTTTATTCAATGTGATTAAACATGCAAAAAATTAGTACGAGATAGTAGTTTTGGTTACTTCATTTATCATAGTCAAAGCACTCAGAATGCAGGATTTTGCATCTAATTTTTCAAAAATTTTATGGGGGGGGGCATGCCCCCAGACCCACCTAGCAAGTTCGCAGCGCTTCGCCCTGATCACCGGTGATAATAAGTAGGTCCTGTCACAGCAATAAAGGTCCAGTAATAAATATTTGTTACTTGACCTCCTGACCTGTTAAAACAATTTAAGTTTGGCTGGGTCTGTCCTTAACCTCAATTTCATGGTTCATTGGACAATATTTAGTTTTTGTCGAGCCTGCGACTTCTGTTGCAAAAAGCTTGACATAGGGATAGTGATCCGACGGCAGCTTTAGCTAAACTCTTAAAAGCTTTATATTTCAGAAGGTAGAAGACCTGGATCCTTCATACTTTATATATAGAAGCCTTATGTTATGAAGTTTCTGTCTGTCATATGTCCATTGTCCTTGACCTCATTTTCATGGTTCAGTGACTACTTGAAAAAAAAGTTAAGATTTTTAGTATTCTTAATTTCTCTCTTATTATTAGTAATAAGATAACTATATTTGGTATGTGCGTACCTTGGAAGGTCCTAATGCCCGTCAGACAGTTTTCACTTGATCATGACCTTGACGTCATTTCATGGATCAGTGAACAAGGTTAAGTCCATATCTCAGATACTATTAGCAATAGGTCTACTATATTTGGTGTATGGAATGATTGTATTGTGTACATGTCCAACTGGCAGGTGTCATCTGACCTTGACCTCATTTTCATGGTTCAGTGGTTATAGTTAAGTTTTTGTGTTTTGGTCTGTTGTTCTAATACTGTATGCAATAGGTCAACTATATTTGGTGTTTGAGAATATTTAACGATGTACATGTCAGTCTGGCATGTTTTATTTGACCATGACCTCATTTTCATGGTTCATTGGTCAATCTTAAGTTTTCCTGGTTTAGTTTGTTTCTTAGATACTACAATGTATATGCAAAAGGTCAACTATATTTAAAGTATATAATGATTGTAAGGTGTACATGTCTGTCTGGCAGGGTTTATCTGACCTTGGCCTCATTTTCATGGTTCATTGATCAATGTTAAGTTTTCCTGGTTAAGTTTGTTTCTTAGATGTGCAATAGGTCAACTATATTTAAAGCATATTTGGTGTATGGAATGATTGTAAGGCAAAATGTAAGGTGTACATGTATTTCCAGTTTGGTTTATCTGACCTTGACCTCATTTTCTTGGATCATGTTAAATTGATGTGATAGTTGTTGAAAAGCTTTATATTTAGGACTATCAACATAATATCAATGGTTAGTAAAGAAGGCGAGACATTTCAGCGTGTGCACTCTTGTTGTGGTTTGGTCTTTTTCTAAGGTAGCACTCCACAGTTACATGTAGGTGTGCATTTTGGCCGCTGTGGATTTTTCAAAGATGAAAGATAGTGTGCAATAAAATTCATTTTTGGATAGCTGAAGATTAATATAGCCTTTATAGTGGGTTTATAGGAACATCAAGATTCTGTAACATATGTTTTATGGGCTGTTTTCTGTATGATAGTCCGTATTTTCATATCCATACCAGACATTGGTCCGGTTATTATTGTAATGTTTTTTTCCAACTTTTTGTCACATGAACTTTGTGATTAAATTTTACGAAAAAATGAGGCGAAAGACACCCAATTTTCATTTGATCATTTGGTAGATTAATGTCAATAGTTTCAGAAAATGTATCACTCAAAGGGATTGAAATTCTAGTTTGAACCAAGTTTTGGGGGAATATGTGACATTTACATCCCCCTTTTTTTCAATATTTTAAGGTGAATAAATGCAGAATGTTGTCATGGATACACAAAAAAATAATTATCCTATGGAAGATACTGATTACAAACATATGCACATGTATGACACAAACAGTGGCTTAATGTATAAGAAAGCCAGGAATAGAAGACGATTAAACATTTTGTGGTTTCAATTTTAATTTTATTTTCTAACTGTGGAGTGCCACCTAAGATACTATAAGCATGGTGTTTGGAATGATTTTTAGGTGTACAGGTTTGACTGGCAGGTTTCATCTGACCTTGACCTCATTTTTATGGTTCAGTGGACAATATTTAGTTTTTGTAGCTTGATCTATTTCTAAGATACTATAAGCAATAGGTCAATTATATTAGGTGTATGGAATGATTGTAAGGTGTACATGTTAGTCTTGCAGGGTTCATATTACCTTGACCTAATTTTCGTGGTTTATTGTTCAATATTAAGATTTTGTGGTTTGATCTGTTTACTAGAAACTATAAACGATAGGACCACTATATTTGGTGTACATGTATGGAATGATTGTAAGGTGTTCATGTCTGTCTGGTATGGTTCAAATGACCTTGACCAACATTGATAAAGTTAAGTTTCTCTTCCCTATACTTGTTGTAGAAGCTTAATATTACAGACTTTCAACATAAATTCAATCATAAGTAAAGCAGTTTGATGTTTTTCTTTGTATCGATCTGATGAGTTAAGCCTTTTTCAACTAATTTTTACAGCTTGTTCTTATGTTGTGTTGTTACACCACTGTCCCAGATTAGGATGGGGGGGTTGAACACTTAAAAACATGTTTAACCCCACCACATTCTTTATGTTCCTGTCCCAAGTTAGGAGCTTGTAGTTCAGTGGTTGTCGTTGGTTGATGTCTGTCATATTTGTTTTTTTCGTAAATTGTTTAGTTATAAATTAGGCCATTTGTTTTCTCAGATGAATTGTTTCATATTTTCATGTCTGGGCCTTTTATAGCCGACTTTACGGTATGGGTATTTCTCATTGTGGAAGGCTGTACGGATGCCTATAATTGCTTACATCCACTTTATTTGAACTTTGGTGGATAGTTGTCTCGTTGGCAATCATACCACATCTCCTTATTTTTATAAAGTCATTTCAGCGTATACACTCTTGTTGTTTATTGTTTTGTACATGTACATAAATCAGGTCGTTATTTTTCTCGTTTGAATTGTTTTACATCTGTTATTATTAGTTCGAGGCCTTTTATACATACATGTGAACCTTCCATTGGGAGGACAATAATCTCGTTTTCAGGGGTCTCCTATGTCCCCCGTTGAAGAGATCAAAATCCTGTGCTTCAAAAATGACATGAATGAAAATTACGTTTTTTTTTACTTTTATTACTATTGTAAGTGGTATAAATTCAGAGTTTATCGAACGTTATTAAATAATCGATTTCTGGTGTATATTGTATCTGACATTATGCAACTTGGAGATTTTGACCCTGAGGCATATTAACAAGAGATGATCAGATGATATGTTGAATGAACTATCAACAAATGATAGGATATTAATTGCTGGCTTCCATTTATGTCACAGGCCAAAGATGACTAAAGGTAATTATATATATAAATATATACCAGCATTGATAGAAAAGAGGAGTGTTGTAGTCAAAACATCGATCGAAAGGTTTTGATGCTGGAAAAAACATTTATTGTTTAAACGAAGTCTGGAGAAGAAGCACTTTTCCACACTTTTTAGTGCTGACACTGAGAGGACCTTCAGCATACGCTAAAGAAGATCCAAACTGACAACAGCGATAACCTTGACTTTAAAGATAATTCAAAACCTTCTCAGTGTAAAGGTTAATCATCTACATACATGTATACACAGACCCTTACCAGTAAAGGTAGCCAAGTTGTCTTGTACTTCTTACCTTTCTCAGTGTTCCAAGACCAGTGCTTACGTTTTGAGACAGTGTAAAATAGACAATGCTTTACATGTAGCTAATATTTATAGAAAAACTAATCCAAGATTAAAGAATTCAGATATAGAAAAATATTCAAGAAGTGAAGTGACTGAATAACACATTAATTCATGAGTTAATATCAATGTTGTTTGTTCATAAGTTGAATATTTTTGAATATTTGAAATCTTCATTTAGTTATATTCTTTTATTACATTGACCATGGTCTTTTTAATGGAAATAAAGTATAAAGTACAAGGAACCAAATCTACCGGTATTTCTATGCCTTCCCTATTTGTTTTGATGCAATTTCATAGACAGTGACTTGACAACACCCATTGTTTTATGACTTCAGAGAAGCCTCAAAAGTGAAATTATCGGTTTTTATTTCACTGGCATGACTGGGAAATCAAAGTTTTTCATTGCAGTCAATGTAATAAAATAATTTCTATAATTTTCAGCCGATAAATTTCTTATTCCTAACCTGTTGATTATTTTTTTTAATCAACATGTGGTTTGTTTGATCTCAGTTCTTCATTGGTTAAAATTCAATTATGATGTTAAATTTTTTGCTTTCCTCTAAATTTGCTTCTTTGATGTCACATAGAAATTTTTTTTTCAGATGATTGGAAAAAGGATTAAGTTTGTCTACATATAAAAATAAGGAGATGTGGTATGATTGCCAATGAAACAACTATCCACCAAAGTTCAAATGAACGTAAATTTAAATTTAAAGAAATAGAAAAAATGTAATAATAAAAACTATAAACAAGAAATAGAAAAAATATAATAATAAAAACTATTAGTAGACAGCTCTCTCACAAGCAAAAAACCCATAACTGTAAAGTATAAGGGCATACACTACAAGCACGGGGACACATTCTACATGTTTGTTAACACATATAATCAGTAAATTATATTCTTTACAGTTCTTACCATACCTATTCACTGCCATGATGAAGGATTTAAAATATTGTGTGGAGAGACCACAGTATTTACGTATGACATTGGAGGATTGTTCCATGTGCCTGAAAAATTTTACTGACCCTGTTTTCTCATCAGTAGCATGTGAAACACAATCAGGTTTGTTGTATGATGAATTTCTTATCTAGACTGCATATTTACATCCTGCACATTTTTTACAATGGTCAAATATAGTTTCAATTTCCAACTTTATTATGAACTCTGAATAATATTTCTCATTTGCAAGGATAAGTAAAGGTGAGTACATTGAAGTATTTTTTATGATGTTACAGCTTTTTAAAAAAAAGTGAGACATAGGTATGCTGTTTCCGGTGTCGGCGGCGGCGTCAACAATGTATTAGTTTGTGATTAGGTCTTGTTCATGGTGAACCACTAGTGGTACATGTAGGTCAATGATATTTGGTATGCAGTTGTATTAGCATTGGCACATCTCATTTCCATGGAGATTATTTGGCCCCGCCCCCTCAGTCAAGGTCTATTGACTTTGAAACTTTTCATAGTTTACATGTATTAGTTTGTGGTTAGGTCAATTTATGGCGAACCACTAGTGGTAGGTCAGTGATATTTAGTATGCAGTTGTATAAGCATTGGCATATCTCATTTCCATGGAGATTATTTTGGCTCCGCCCCCTTAGTCATGGTCTATAGACTGAAAATTTTGCTAAGTTAACATGTTTTAGTTTGTGATTAGGTCAGTTCAAGGGGAACCATTAGTGGTAGGCCAATGTTAATTGGTGTTCAGTTGTATAAGCATTAGCACATCTCATTTCCATGGAGAATATTTGGCCCCGCCCTCTCAGTCATGGTCTATTTACTTTGAAACTTTTGCTTAGTTTACATGTATTAGTTTGTGATTAGATCAGTTTAAGATGAACTGCTAATGTTAAGTCAATGATATTTGGTATGCAAATTTATTGGCATTTGCAAGTATCGTTTCCATGGAGATTATATAGCCCCACCCCTGATCATGGTTCATTGACTTTGAAACTCTTACATAGTTTACAAGTTAATGTTTGTGTTTAGGTTTGTTTAAAGGGAATGACTTATAATAAGTCAATGGTATTTGGTATGCAGTTGTATTAGCATTGGCACATCTCATTCCATGGAGATTGTTTAGCCATGTACCTTCAGTCATGGTTCATGGACTTTGAATATTTGCATAACTTACATGTTAAAGTATTGCTATTTTAATTTCAACATTTGCATTATCAAAATTACAAAAAGGCGAGACATATCTCTGTTATAACAGTTTATTTGTATCAAAATATTTGATTTACTCTAGATAATCAAAACCAGAGATCCTCGCATTAAAATTCATGCTGGTATATTAAAAATATATTTCCTATCAAGCACAAAAGTTTTCACAGATTAAGAAAATGACAACAGACCCATACCATGTACTTCTCTTAGTTTCAATTTTTCATTTAAATTTTTTTGTTTTTTTAAAAGGTTACTCAGATTTAGATGATGACAATGATTTTCTGATATACTGTTTATTGATTTCCTGTTTTTTGAATTTCAGAGTTCTGCATAAAAGTCCAAGCAACATGCATAGTCAATTGTGTCATTTTTGTCCTATAATTGTTAGGAATTTACATGTATACCAAAATCCCTTTGAAATGCTTCAAAAAGAACCCATTGTTTGACTTTTACTTTTTTAAAAATGAACTTAGAAACAGAAAACAAATATTTTTTAGATTGTGAAATAGAAGAACTGATGGATGTTCAGTGCCACCAGTTGGAGCTACCAGACTTTTGTCCCATTGAAACAGCCAGTCAGAGTGGGAAATTTGAAGATGCTGTTAAAAATCTGGCGGATAGTATATATTATAGTACTTTTTCGGGTTCTGGTAAAATTCAGTCCCCTAAAATAGAACAATGGTAGGATAAGAATATAAAATTAGAAAGAATTGTAAGGATTGATACTTAAATGATATTTTTTCCCTTTATAGTGATATTTACTTAAATATGTACTGGTAATTTAAAAAAATAGATAAACTTGAAATGTTAATTGCCTATCTCCTTAATCGTAATACCCCCTCTCCAAAGGAAGGGAGTATACTGGTTTATCTCTGTACATTTGTCTGTCTGTCCATAACGCATTTCTATCCCATTTAACTTAAAAACTACAGTTTAACTCTTTTTCAGATCCTCTAAGGTTCGGTTTCCTGTTTGCCGGAAATTACTATCATCAAAATATCATGCACATATATTGAATTTTTCTTAGGAACTGCTAGTCATATATGTAGCTTCTTGAAGTTCTTGATGGCACTGACTTTCATCTAGTTATGCCATACTTTGTACACATTTTAGTTTTTTCTGGTTTTACATCCTGCTTAAACTTTTAACTTATAATGCACAAACATGAAATTTTAATCACATTTAGACAACAATATTGAGTAGGGGAATAAATTATGGGCAATAGCTCACAGTGAATCTTGTTTTCAACTTATTTACAAAATTTCTCACCACAAATATTTAGACTTTCCCAAATCTCTTGACAGAAGTCATGATGAACTGATTTATATAATGATTCCTAAATAAGACACTCACATTAGGTCTGGGACAAATCACACTATTGTTGTATGTGCATTATAGAAAGGGGGAGTGTGGGTTCAAGACAAAATTCTATATTGTGATTCCCCCAAATGCAAGTATTGAATAAGGACTAAAACTGATTTTGAATCAAGGAAAGGCACTGAAAATGTTTCATTCTCACCTGCATTGCTTTTTTCAGAACTTGTGCTTGGAGAGTGTTCTGCCTACCAAACAGTATGATATACTAAATGTATTAAAGACAAGATGCTGCTGTATATAACCTACAGTTGCTGTCACTATCATCTCTATGGCTCACCATTATGCACCATATTACATGAGACAATGATTGGGAGGCATACTGCAATGACCTTAATATCTACATGTGTATCATTTGTCTGTCGGTTTTATATGTCTGTCTATCTTATTATTATTACATATATAGTAATCAGCAACTGTTTAAAGGAATGATTTGTTATAAGCCAATAAGGTAGCAATACACAGTTAAAAGTTGAAACTGACACTCATAATTTTAATCACCCTCTTTCCCTTGGTTTCTAACAAATTAAGCTTAGTGTTTTATCATATTTGTGCATATGTATTGAAAGAGCATCTTCCATAGATTAAGTTTCCAATAGTTGAAATGGTGAAATATAATCTCATTTTGGTTTAACCATGGCAACAATCTGCATTTATTTGATACAAAATATTGCAAAAAGAGGCCCCAAAACTTGGTCCAAATTAGAATTTCAATCCATTTGAGTGATACTTTTACTGAAACCATTGACATTTATCTGTAAAGAAATAGAATAAAAAAAACATATGCATTTCACCTCATATATTTGTAAAATTGCATCGAAAGTTCAAGTATAAAAAAATGGTGAGTAAACATTACAATAATTTCTGGATCTATGGCCCGTATGGATATGATAATATGGACTGTCAAACAGAAAATGTTCTATAAACATGCAAATAACAATCTTGAATATGTACATGTATGTTCATGTAAAATGATATAAGAAGATGTGGTATGAGTGCCAATGAGACAACTCTCCATCCAAGTCAAAATTTATAAAAGTAAACCATTAAAGGTCAAAGTACGGTCTTCAACACGGAGCCTTGGCTCACACCGAACAGCAAGCTATAAAGGGCCCCAAAAATACTAGTGTAAAACCATTCAAACGGGAAAACCAACGGTCTAATCTATATAAAAAACGAGAAACACTTATGAACCACATAAACAAACGACAGCTACTGAACATCAGATTCCTGACTTAGGACAGGTGCAAACAATTGCAGCGGGTTTAAACGTTTTAATGGTACCAAACCTCCACCCTTATCTGAAACAATTGTGTAATGTCACAACATAGAAAGACCCAGTTTGAAGGCTTAATTATTCTTCAGCTATCTGAAAATTAATTTTATTGCACAATAATTTAATTTTGGATGTAACACGTCTTCTGATTGGCTGAGAGAATTTTGTTTATCAGCTCATAGACATAATTTTGTCATGTGACCGTGACATTATCAACGTTTTTTTCATGATTTACTCCTTAAAAATGGAATTTAGAATTAAATTATAAGGAATGATTGTAATATTTTTTCTGTCTATTCGAAATAACAGAAAAATGTGGTGCACACTGTTAAATAACCCGCAATGTGCGTTATTCAGTGTGCACCACATTTTTGATGTTATTTCTTCATAGACAGAAAAAATATTACAGTCATTCCTTAAATAACTTTCATATAAATTGAAAAATTCATCAAGCCAAAATGTGAAACTGCATTCGTAAATGTGTATTGCTACCTTAGGTCTGGAGCAATTTAATGTTGAGGTGTACACTGGAAGGGCTTTTTACATTTGCGGGGGAGCAAAATCTTGTTTGACAACACTTAAAAAATTTGTTATACTCCCTGAGCATGGAATTTTTATGTCACTGTCTAGATAACAAGTGATGTATACTTTGTAAGACACTGCCTGCAACTTTTTCATTGACCTGACTTGAAAGTAAAATGATCATGAATACATTGTTAAAGTACTTGTTATTCTTTAATGATGGTAATCTGCAGTTGAATATAAATACATATACAAAAATGATGTCATTATGTAATTCATATGTTGCCTATCATTAATTCTAAAAAAAATTCTGGTTTACATGTTTATAGGTTAAAATCATCTCTCTATTGTTTCAGTTATTTTTCCTTCACAAGAACTTTTATATCCATATGTTTTTACTATCCTGGGACATTATTTCTGAAAAAAATTACAATCTTATTATTAACACACATCTTGTTCAAAGTTAAATTCACACGTATGTAGACTGAATTTATGTCTGTTATTTAGACATCTCAAAACCTTTATATGATGTCACCAGTCATTAATTTGTGATCACTTACTATCAACATGATTAAGCTGGTTAAGAGACTAAAAACAATAATTCAGTGATTGCTATATATCTATTTTTAGGTTGTCTGAGAATTTTATAGAGCATGAAGATAAGAATGTTGCCAGAAGAGAAATGTACAACTACTACTGTGAATGTTGTAAGTTTCACAGAGAAACACCTTGTAATCAGGCTACATTTGGAAAGGTTGTCAGAGTTGTCTTTCCTGGAATAAAGACAAGAAGAATAGGGATCAGAGGTCATTCCAGGTAAATGAATGTGTATCTTTTACCACATCCTTCCTGGGATAGTTTCAAGAAACATTTTGAAATTTGAAATATGATAATCCCATAATGCTAAGTATTGTAGAAATTTCAAATAAGATTTGAGATTTTTCTGACACACAAATTCAAATGCAGTTACTGTTTTTTTTCTTACCGCATTAAGGATTAATATTAAATGCCTTTTGAGCTATATTTTGTTTTTCATCCCTTTCTATCAATGGTTATGAATTGTTTGTTGATGATGGTAACAATAGAATTAAAATAATAATGAGAAAGAATTGTAATATTTTTGTAACTTTTAGTTTATAACAGTAAGCATTAATTGGACATTTAAAGATGGTATTTTTATTTTTATCTCTTAAAACATAGGTACCATTATTTTGGTATAGGACCAGTCAATAACAGGGGAAAATTCACTCCATCTTTACCACACAGGTAAGAAAAATAAGCACTTCAGGAATAAGTTTAGTTTAAAGTGTAAACATTCAACTTAAAATATTTTAAGAACAGATATAAAATATTGCAGAAGGAGATATAGTAATAAAGTTTATTAAAATGATGCCATTTTGGCTACCTGAACCTGTATTATTTACCAGTTTCGTAGGAGTTGAAACCTATTATACACCATTATTGTCATTTTTTTTAAAGGTATAATGTTGAAGATTTGTCAGAATGAATTAACATTTGCTTCCTTGTGCATTGTAATAGAACTGGACTAAATTGTTATGTAACACAGTGTTCTCCCCAGAAATTTTTTAAGGCGCAAAATTTGTAGCATGTAACCCTTTTTTTGGAATGTACTATCATGACGAGAAACAATCCTTCAGAAGTAAAAAATGAATTTATAAGCTTTATGACAGTCTTAAGTGTTTAATTATGTACACTTTTTATAAAATATAATCAATTTACACACATATAAAACACATTGAGTAATTTCAAGAGAATATTCTTCTGGTCCTTTGAGCCTTTAAGTGCTGAATAGCTTTAAATTTTTCCATAACTGGTGCATCTGCTCTTTCTAAAAATATTGTATTATTAGCAGTTTGTAATTTTTGGAATACAACTTTTTAAAAGAAAAGATAAAATGAACAGCTGATCAATTTTGAAGTTTGACATTCGAGATTGCTTCCATGTGTATTTGTCACACTCTTTTCTTTGGCAGGTAGAAACCTGGCAAATTCTTCAAAGTTAAGTCCAACAAAATTATTTACATATGCTTCTGCTTTTCCGTTCCCAACTATTGACATCAAGTTGTGTATTGTCATAGTTTTCCGGTGCAAGGACCAAACTATCGATTCATAAAACTGAGAATGGAAATGGGGAATATTTCAAAGAGACAACAACCCGACCAAAGAGCAGACAACAGCCGAAGGCCACCAATGGGTCTTCAATGCAGCGAGAAAATTCTGCACCTGGAGGTGGTCCTCAGCTGCCCCTAAATAAAATTGTGTGCTAGTTTAGTGAAAATGGACGTCACACTAAACTCCAAAACATATAAATGAACTAAAATTAATAAAACATACAAGACTAACAAAGGCCAGAGGATCATAAATATTAGTTTGTGTTACTTTTTTTTCATGTAAAACGACTTCCATTCATAAATATATTTGTAGTTGTGTATTACAAAGTTAGCACGTGTTATCATCATGTTCATTGGTTGTATTAGAATAGATTTTTACTATTGACCAATGAGAAAATTTGATATTTAATTCAGCATTATTATAAGGAAAGCCACTCGTCAAAAAGTTTTGTATTTGTATTTCGATCTTTTCCCTCAATTCAAACCCTGAAACACTGAAAAAAAGTATCCAAGAAAAACATTTATCTATTTGATGATAATCTATATGCAATTACGCGATCAGATAACAAATACAGGTAAAGGATAGACTGGAGTCAATAATTGCTTAATTTGGTGTAGTATTGATTTTCATCTCAGGGGCGATCTTTAATTTTACAAAAGTTATCGAACAGTTCATAATTAAATATGAAAGTTAACATGCTGCGGGATCAAGTATTAAGGGGCAGCGGCAATTAAGGTGCTGCAGGACCGCAGCATCATATCGGCCTGGAGAGAACACTGTTAAACAATTCCTCCACATTTGCTGTACTTTTTGTAAAACAAATTCAGTGTCTTGTATTTTTGTAACTGTCTTTTCAGTTGCTTTTTGTGGTATTATATATCAAATTTCAAAACAAATCAATGATGTAAAAATAATTGAATACTTCTGCAATGGTGCTGAAAAAAATGCTTTTTTCTATCCATGTCAGCAAACGCTATGAATGCCATGATTGTGGTGATATGCATTTTTTTTATAAGGAAAACTGTTGGGGTACATAGCAATCCACATGTCCCTCTGTCCTTCTGTCACACTTTTGGGTTCCAGATAAAAAATAGAAAACTGCTTTTTGAAAATTAATGTATGAACCACTAAAGACAGGTTAAGTTCGATTTATGTCGTTTCACTTTTACCATTCCAGAGTTATGGTACATTTGTACTTGATTGTTGGAAAAATTTTTAACTTTTGGTTTTCGGAATAATAAATGGAGAACCCCTTTTACCAGTTAGAGATATAACTCTATAGGGTTATTAAAGAAAATATCTTGCATGTGTTATTACAGATACTTTGATGAGTTGTCTACTCTTTAATCCTTAAATTTTTAAAATCTGTAATAACACATGTTTGTTATTTGTAAAATAAATCATAAATGTTTTAATTTTTAGTGGGCTCTAGGGAACTCTTGAAACTTTGCGCAGAAACTAAATGCATAGCCTTGATAACTAATTTTTTAATTAGATTAATACATTTTTCATTTACCATGGGAAATCAATGAGGCAAGGCTTTTAAGGGATGAACTCAGCTGTAATAACAAGGCTTAGTTATTAAAGGCATGTAACTTATTATATGAGACACTTGGGAATTACAAGGAAACTTGCGCAGAACCTCATTACATGCTCTGATCATGATTTCTTACAATGAATTAAAATACATTGTAATTAAGCATGATGTATGTCTGAGCAAATGCTTTGGAGTGATGTAGAGAAGCTGTAATAACACCCTTTAGTTATTATAGGCATATTTTTTCTGTAATAACATAGGTTTACTATGCATGATTGACAAACTATGAACTGTTATATTTTTCTATAGTTTAGAATATGTAAAGACAATAGTAGTATCAATAGAACTTGTATACATTTTAACAAAACTAATGATGTATATTGTCCCTTTGAAACATGTAACATACATATGTTATCACAGTTCTTTGATTTTTTAGTCCTCAATAACAAATGTATGTTATTTTTCTCTAATAACCCTATAGAGTTATATCCTTTACTGTTTACAATTTGATTGAAATTTTAATAGAATGTTTTGGACCACTAAAGACAAGCTGAGTTGCAATTCTCGTATGTACAACAAAGGTAGATTCTTTTTGTAAAATATTGATGGCCCTGAAAAGGACCGTTAGAGATATCATTGGCACAAGATGCACGTCAAAAGCCTTATTTCCTCTTCTTTCGATCAATGGGCTTCCTGTAACTTGAACGTTGCCGTTTTGTTTATTTACGTCTGTGACGTCATTTTCATGAGTACAAATCAACAAACTAAAAAGGTTATTCGCCTGTGAATAATAGGGTTATTCAACGCTGGTGTAAATTTTTAGGGTTATTCGTTCTTCCTTGCAATTGAATGAAAATTAACTGAATTATTCCATGTCACGTGATAACGTTTTGCCCAATAGAATTGTTTGAAATATATGTAAGGTATAATAATGTTAATTACCATGCTGCCACATCAAATATTAATTTTATTATACATGTACATATCTAAACATGTGACAATTTTATGACAGACATTCTCCATCAGATAACACATGGTTATATAGGGCTAACACCATAATATATATATAATTAACTCGTCTCAAATTTAGCTCAACAATGTTAGATCTTCAAATTTGCGTTAGCAAATATTTGTTCTTCCCTCAGCTGGATTCAAACCCTTGCTTCTGTGACATCATGGCAACACCGCCTGCACCTTGTCCATTGCCCTAGACCCCCATAATACATATATATATAGAATTGGTCTAAATATAACCACTCTATAGTTTTGTTAGATATTATCAGGTTTTCTTCATTTTGTAATTGTAAATTATTGGTCTGTATCACGCTTCTCAGCACTTGGTAAAATCTAATATCCTGGGTTTTTTTGAGTCAAAAAAATTGAGCTTGACCCAAACTTTAATAATAGATTTAAAATAGAGTTATAAAGCGGATTACATACAGCTGCAGTACATTAAGAAGTGATCTTGTTCAATGCCCAGAACAAACCTGTACAGAAATGCAGAAAAACAAAAGAAACATTTTGGTCTTACTTTAAGCTTAAATTAAATTGTATACAACAAATAGATCTTCATACCTAAAACTTGTCTGATGCAATTCAATTATATCCTTTATCAATAAGTCATGGTTGCCTCATAATATTCACATTTGGCAAATTGATGTTGCAGGTAAATATCTGAAATATGTTTGATAAAGTAAATATTTGCATATGTGTGAAATTTGATATACAGTTATTTAATTTCAGATCGTACTTTAGACATGAAGACATAGATCACAGCCCGGCAGTGGTATGTTTAAGCAATGGCGGAAAGTATATTGTGTTTAATCAGGCCAAAAGGTTTTATCAGATACATGTACTTAGGATTCTACCCATACGTATTGAGATTGTATCATTTCAAAGCAAATATTCCTAACAACCAGATGCTCATATTAAGCTATAAGCTAAAAAGTGAAGCTTGCAAGGAAATTTTATTAAAAAAAATGGAAGAAAATGTATAAAAAAATTCTCTTAAACAAGTTTGCCGATTTTGATCAAAGTAGGATAATGAACCTCTATAAAGGTGTCCAACTTGTCAGCTTTTCACTGAGATTTATAAATTTTCATAATTAGTACTCAGATTCAGTCAGTAGTGTACATATTATTTTAATTATTATTTAGGGGCCAGCTGAAGCCTGCTTTTGGGGGTGGGATTTTCTCGCTGTGTTGAAGATCCATTGGTGGCCTTGGGCTGTTTTCTGCTCTTTGGTCGGGTTGTTGTCTCTTTGACACATTCCCCGTTTCCATTCTCAATTTATAGACTCTAAGATGAGCCATATAGGTTTTTTATTTCCCGGCCGTAGTGGAGGGGGCTTTTAGTGTTACCCTTGTCTGTCCCGTCCCCAAATTATGTTTCCATTCTCTAACTTTAAGTTTGCCTCAACCAAATCTTATAAAACTTATACATAATGCTTATTACCACAAAACACAGATCAAGTTCGAAATTGGGTGGTGTCACTTTTACTGTTCATGAGTTATGCCCCTTTATAAATATAAAAATTGCTGAATTTTTCGTTTCCCTTCTCTAACTTTAGTTTGCCTCAACCAAATGTTATGAAACTTATGCTTATAATCACAAAACAGTCTTATTTACGTGAATCCTGCATCTGTATGTGGAAGTTGACTCCTGCATATTTACAAGCAGGGGCATTTGTGGCCCTTCGACACATTCTCCATTTATTTGATCCAGCTTTAGCGTATTTTATTTGTAGGTGCTACAATGTCCAGACAGAGTGAGACCTAATGGATATCATGATGTAGAGCTATTTTTGGCAGATTTTCCAACTATAGAAACCGTGGCTGTTAAATGTAAACATAAGATTCTGGTATGTAGATACAAATTTTGTATAATTACACGAAAATGGATATATTGCATGTATGTAATTTTATATATAAAAAATAGAGAATTTTGAATTTCAATGAAATGACAAATATTCAGAAACACAGGATAACCACACTTTAAAGAACAAGACATGTCAAATTTGAATAGAAAATCACATTTCATTGTAGGAAGTTTTTGACACCATAAGACTGTTTCTGGTTAAGTTACACACATTTGCTTTCATGAGGCAATATGTTATAAAACATACATGCTTGTTTGAAGCAGTATTAACCAAAAGCAAGTACTTCCTTCAACTGCATATTAGAGGTGATATCTCTGACATGTCAGAAATTGGAGATTTTAACTGTGAATAGTACTCACTGATGAGGGTATTGTAATATAGAGATACAAACCACTGCCATACTTGTGAGCAAACTTCAACCAGAGATTTACTAACTTTAATAAAATTAAAAAAAACGGCCAGTTTGAAAGAAGAAATAAAATATTAGCTTACCTATAGATGCAAAACAGGACAATCTGAGCTGATGTCATCACTTTGCATCCTTCATCCATCCATTGTTGTTTCATTTCATCATCTGCTCAGAAACCAGATAACTTTGAACCATGCAGACTTGGCAGGATCAATATATGGAAGGTCCTTTATGAAAATGGCTCATATCGTTCTGATCACATTATAACATGGCTGCAAACATCAATCTTTAATTCTGTGTGACCAATTTTTAAAAATCTCTGACATTACAAGGTTTAATGTTTTGAATCTTTAGGAGATTGATTGATGGAAGACCAGGCAAAGTTAGTGGCATTGGAGGCACATAGTTCCCAGAGAAATCATATGGAAAATCACAATCTCTGAAACCACTTGGTCAGTTTTATTCAAGCTTGGCTGGAAGGGTGAAAAGAATGTCCTTTACAAATGTTTTTCATTTGGTTGTAATCTCACCTTTGATTCTGATTGGCTAGTTTTCTAAATTTCCTTTGAAACTACAAATATTAATGTAATCTTCAGGGGATTTATAATTGTAAGTTCCTCAACAAAAAAACTCATTTAAAACTGATTGGGAGGCATACATGGCTGCATTGATGACATTTAGTTCCCATTGAAACCTACTGCAAAATCACATTTTCATTTTATTACCAAGTTTGTTTGAATTATGTTTGGAACAAGGATCCGGAAATTTTTCCACACAATTTCGGTCATTTTGAGATGTTTGAAAAGTTTGTGCCCCTTTCCAAATTGTCGATGTCAACTTGACTAGATTCATAGCATCAACGAACTTGTATTGCTGTTTCATCGCATTTACCAAGTAAATGTCTTACCATTATCATGAAGAACAGTTTAGGGAAGGCAATAGTTTAAAATTGAAATGATTTTAATGACTCAAAATGGTAAATCTCTCAGACATTGCTTACGTTTCTTTCGATTTGCCAAAAGTTAAAACCAGAAGTTTGCGATAAAGTTAGAGTACGAATAATTCCGGATTCATTTCCGGGATTTGTTTTGTTTATCAAATTGACAGGAAATCACTGGCTTTTTAGGGAGCCACCATTTGATTTTTATGGGGGGGGGGGGGGGGGGGGGGGGGCTAGGATGAAATTTGAAAAAAATAGGCAGGACAGGATTTTTGAGTAAAAAAAAAGGCAGGATGAGATTATTTGCAAAAAAAAAAAAGGCAGGATGACAATTTATTTAAAAAAAAAGTCAGGATAAACTAAAAAAAAAAAGGCAGGACCCAATAGAGTGAAAAATAAAAAGGCAGGACCCAATAGAGGGGAAAATAAATAGGCAGGACAAAATTTTTCATCCTAGTCCCCCCATAAAAATCAAATGGTAGCTCCCTTATGGCTTTTTTATTTTATTACCTTTAAAAGTGTTTGAATTGTAACAGACAATAGTTGCACTCGTTTAATTTAGCATGAAATCAATTTGCATTTTACGATTAAACATTAAATTTGCTGAAGACAATTTCACGCATGCGTATTATATAGTAAATAAAGCACATGAAAAAATACTTTTTTCTCCATAAATTTATAGGTTTAATTTTAAATCAGATTTGATGATTGTCTTTGCTGAAAAGTAATTAAATAATGAATACACTTGTCAGGGAATTTCAATTTTTGTTAAGATATTATTCTGAGCTTGTGATCACTGTCAGGTGTGAATTAAAACCACAGGTAAAAAGTGATTAGCGACCATTAGCCAATGTTTCCCGGAGGCATTGATATAGATATTAGGAGGGCCCTCAGGATTATCAATTTACTGGAGTGGCAGTTTTATTACAGGAAAGGGATTATAAACAAAAACAAGTGATCACAACTTACACAAGACAGTGCAAAATGGCGATTAAGAAATCCGATTTCAATCATTGAGTCAATGAAATGACCAAAATTACTTCTTTAAAAAAATAAAATTTGTCCTAAATCCCAATTACTCGTTTAGGACAAATAGTTTCATCTTAGGACATGACTGGCATATATGACCGTTTCCGGATCCTTGGTTTGGAAGGTCCTCCACAAATGATCCTAGTTTAGTTTTGATAAGATGAGTATTTTAAACAGAAGCATGGTTTCAGAGGAATGATTTACTTAGCCAATATGATTAACATGTTTTTACATTCTTTTACAGGCATTTGAATTTTTGCAGATGTACAAAGATCATGCAGTCACATTAATCAGTTCAATTGTTAATGCAGAATTTGACAAGGTATTAAATTTAGTTTTGCTGTCTTTATTTGCTGAAATAGTCTTTTCCAAGGCATAGTAACCGGAGAGCAATCAAACTCAAAGACAAAAGACAAAGTACCAATCTTAGGATTACTCACAGTTACCGAAAGCTAGTTCAAAACAATATAATAAATCTTGTTCTCCAAGACTAAAGTATAAATTAGTACACATCCAATGGATTTTGTGTAAAGATGTCATAAACAGTACCAGAAAAGCATTACCTTATGCAATGAAGAATTGATTTGAATGTAATTACATAAAATGTATATATATATATATATATATATATTATACTTGTTTCCTGTCTACTGACAGAAAATAACCAGGACAGCTAGGTAGGTAAAAATAATGTTATTTTTGAAAAATGTTTTACAAAGACTATATAGGGAAATGATCTGGACTTAAAAAGTGATTAACCTATAATTTTCTTAAAAATGTTATAGTGTAGGCATGAATATTAAGAATAGGTATGATTCTATTTGTAGGTAACAAGATGTATATCTGAGTTTTGGACAGGCCTTCCTGTGAAGATGTACCCACTTCTTAACCAATCAGACTTTGTATCAGTTATAGAACAGTGTGATTTATTGGTGTACTTTGTTATAAATGATATGCTGGTACCAACAGTCCCCTATGTTGTCAACAAGGGGTATGTACTACTAGTAAAACAGTGCTACATTTTTTAAATAATTGTATTCCAAAAACAGAAGGATAGACTGTTTTTCTAAATACAAGATTCAGTATATGTACAAAAACCATTTATACTCTCACTTTAAAACCCATAGTTGTTTTGGGCCCTACCAACGCTTAAAGTTTTGACTTTTATTGATTTCTTCCTGTGGACTTTAATATTGTGTTGTGCTTATCTTCCCCCTTTTGTCTTAGTTTCCTAATCCATACCAAACATTTTATTATCTCAGGATGACAGAGGCTGTGAAGAGTTTGTTACACTGTTTACCAGAATGTTTGACAAACAGTTTGATTCTGTTACCTGATTTACTAAGAATACGGAAATTAAGAGGTAAGATTTGTTTACGGACTCAATGGTATATTGTTTGACTATATTTACAACGACCTTGTTGAGAAATAATATAGAGCACTAACCCAACCAAAAATCATGTTAAAAACTGGAAGTTTGTTTTGTGTTTATCTTTTGTTTTATTATATTGATATGCAATACATAAAAAGGCATAACAAGAACACTAGAAAGTACACAGCACACCAACCACCAACTCAGGACTCTTCCAGAAAAATATATATACAAAATCAAGGACAACAACATGGTCAAGATAGCCTGATTTAGTACACACAAAATGTGGTAGCATTCAATATAACAAGTCATAGATAGTATATATGTACTTTGATTCGTAATTAGTTGAAGTATCATAAAGGTTAATAACTGTATGATTTGACTGAATGAGTATATAACTTGCTTCAATATATCTTTAGATCAAAATTTGTTTTGATCAGAAAGTGTGGCCAACATTTTCCAAAAGGTCATGGCCTTATCCTTTATCACTTGTAATCAGATGTCAGACATCTTTTTTCAGTGTCAGTTACTGCAGTTAGCTTTTAGCACATATACTATGTTGTGGTCAGTGTTTTATACCTGTGCTAGTGACAATAGGATATTCCTTTGTCTTTTAACTGTGACATTCAATCTGCAGCTCCATTATGAGTACTGTCAGTCAGTTTTGGGGATTTTGCTTTTTTATCCATTTCTCAAAATTTGGAGATTACATCCATTTGGAAAAAAAGAGAGGATGGAGAGGTGTAATTAGTGAGACTTAGGCTTATCTCAATCTTTATTATCAGTGTACCAAGAATTCCAACAGAGTATTCAGAAGCAACTTCATATCAGTTGTATATACACTGTAGTGTCTGTTGTACTGAGGAATCAGGATGTAACAAGCAGATTACACAATGACTGGAAACAGCTGGACAGCAATGAAATAAATGGGAGGATTTCTGCAGTAGTTCAACAAATTGACTTAAAAGATGTTCTTTATTGTAAGTACTTGCTCAAATTAGAATATGTAATTTAGCTTTCATTGATTGGCTATCAGGTTTTCTGAATAGTGAATTCATCAAATATGAGCAGTTGGTCAATTTATGCAGATATTTTTGGAAAGTAAGCTTAAACCTTTTTTAGCCATTTATGAGTTACTAATTTCAATTCAGGGATCTTTATGAACTGTTTTCTGATGTGCACTACCATAGTTCACTTCCCTCCTGCCGTAATCAAATATATCCTCCATGGGTTAAATTTGACTGCCACCTTTGTTCAGAAGTGTGTTATTAATTAAATAAGAACAATTTAGTAATGTTTTTAAATATCAAGCTAACATGTGTACATTGGAACAAAGATATTGACCTAATAGCTGAAATCTACAAGTTGCTTTGTCAGGATTTATTTACGTGGTTTTCATGGTAGAAACAGCAGAAGACTTATAGAATAAAGGGTCAAATATTATGATGTTTGTAAATTATAGGATAGGGTCAATTCTAGGTCTAACAAACTGTGATGTGAGATTTTCTTAAAGCTGATCAATGTGGTACAGGTGCATTAATATAAATCAGCACATGCTCAAAATGATTGAAGGAAAAGGGAAAACTTTGGTTATTCGATATCCTGGAAGTTTTTTTTGTTCTAAAAAAATGTTATCTTTTACAGATATAAAGAAAATAGAAAAGATACTAAATAACAAGGAGGACATACCTGAACAGTTAACAAGACTTGTGCACACAGTGTTACAGACATATTGGAAGTCTGTAAGTGTATGACTATTCAAGAACTTAGTACAGAAAACTTCAGAGGCCTTTTGTTCCCCTCCTTTCACATTGTTCAAAAGTCAAATTGAAAACCGGTGATTTGAAGATTTTCAGCTCACCTGACCCTAGCCCATACAACTACTATCAGCACAATACTTATATCATAAGAATTTTAACTTTTCCTAGGAAATCAGTGAGCCAATTGTTTCAAACCTTTTCGTAAACAATTTATTGGAAGTCTTCATTTAAATATTTATACCACTGCATAGAGTGTGATACAATATTTTTCCACTTGAGACAGTTTAATTTTCAAATTATAGCTCAAGGCTTACCCCTCATACTCAATCTTTAAAATGTAACATTGAGAGAGGAGAAATATAGTTTTGCATGATATTCAGTTGTGAAATCTGTTTCTCTTATGATTTTTGTCTTGCCTTGACTGAGTCAAAAAGGGAGACTTGGGCATGCTGTTTCTGGTGTCAGTGTTGATGGAGGCGGAAGCAGTGGCAACAATTTGTTAAATGTTTTTATTACTTCAATTTAAGGGGAACAATTAATGGTAAATTGATGATATTTAGGATGCAGTTGTATAATTATTGGCACATCTTAATTCCATGGAGATTATTTGGCCCCACCTCCTCAGTCATGGTTTATTGACTTTAAAACAATTGCTTAGTTTATATGTTAAAGTTTTAAGTTGAAAAACTAATGATAAGTCAATGATATTTAGTAATTATTTGTATAAGCATTGACACATCTTATTTCCATGGAAATTATTTTACCCCCTCCCATCAGTCATGGTCCATTGACTTTGAAACTTTAGTATAGATCACATATTGAAAAAATTGTGATAAGGTCAATTTTTCTGTATGCCTGATATATATCATTTCTAAAACCTTAAGTACTAAAACCTTTTATTCCAAGAAAAATAAATTGTACTAAGTTTTCCTTAATTGTATTGTATTCAAGATGTCCATCCCTTCATTTTGCCAAGTTTAAAGATATTCATACAGTAATGCAATTTAGATTAAAACACTTTCATTACACTATCAAGATTACAAACAGGAAAAGATATCTCTGTGTAAACATTTTATTTATACATGTATATGTCAGAGTGGTAGCATTTTAACTTCGTTCTTTTTAGTATGGGACATGTATTCATGTTTTTTAAATGTTGACTACTAGTCAAAATGGATGTAGGGATTTTTTGCTTGAACAAAAGATAGACAGTTAATGATGTAGATGTCAAGCAAGCAATACAGGCTTATTATGATTTTTTATTGACTTTTCTTATTGATGAATGTTTACTATTACAGACTGACAGACAGAAACCACAAATTCAGTTGTTTGTCTTGCAATGGTCATACATCAGTGGACAAATCATACAACTTCTTGCTGAAGAACATTCCTCAGTTACAGGTAAATTATAAAAGGAAATTCATTGCATAGACTTTTCTTGTGCAAATTAGTCCACAGGGCCAGTGAGGATGGTAATAATAAGAACTCACATTTGGAAATCACGATTTCTTATCTGTATGCAAATTTTCTTGAAATCACAATAATTAATTTCTCATTTAAGCTATTCTTCAAAAATCGCAATAATAGATGCACACAATAGTTTCTGAATTTTCAGTAATTGATAAACATTGAAAGATGTCAAACTAATGGAATGCTGTTTTCCTAAGTTCATATAATCAACAAAAGATATTTACAAAATGTAAAGATATAAGGGGGGAAATGCAACAAAAGATTAGAATGAATAGTAAATATAATATAGTATCAATAAATATGTATGTATATATTGATTCCATATTTTTCAGGACTATTTTTGCTGTTAGAAGTGCTGTGTAAAGACTACTTAATGTTCCTGATTGAAAAACATGTAGAGATTTAAGATGCAATATGATGATTGTAAAATCTAAAACTGTATTTGCCATTCCCTGTGCAATATATGCTGACATTTGAATTTTCTATTTGTTTTAATAAAGCTGTTACAACAGAACATATGGAAATCTCAGTATTTGTATTTAGTTATGAACAGACAATATTTGATCAATAAAGAAATCTTGGATTTTGGGTGAAATTTTATTTCCAATGCATTTTGATTGAGTGCTCAAATCATACGATTCTGGAATGATTTGAAAAGGAAGTATGATGGGATAGATGTCAGTTAGTTAAAAACTTTGGATTAAACTACCAAAAAAGTAACGCCTCTTACTGTATATTGGGTTTTTTTCCCCCGCACAAATTAATGACAAAGATGTCAAGTTAAATTTTCATTGTGTATTATTTTCACTGAATGGTAAAATACAGGCAAAAATATCACTACAATGTAATCATAAATAAAAAGTAGATTTATGAACTAAATAAACTTTATCAATTGACAGAAAAAGATCATGAATAAATATGGGGGCTACAAACTGAAATATACTTATTGCTGTTTTATAAACAACCAAAAGCCTAACTTTTCTGAACATGCCACTGGACTTTTAAACAGCCATCCATCCATTCATACTAAAGGAACAATATTGCAATCATTGAAATATGAAAGGATCATGCACTACTACTTATGATTTTTCTGAAACAAGTATTTATTCTATGCCTATGATAGTAGAGAGATAGTATGTTTTCCTGCATGTGTGAGATCCTCTTGTATCAGGTTAAAAAATTGAAAACAACAAGTTTAATAATTTCATGTGTCCGAAGCGCTTTTCTGGATTTACCTTCATCAGGAACGCTCAAAGCCAAACATTTGAAATCCGAGGGATGTATAAGTACCGAAACAGTTGAAGAGCTAAATGACAAAAATACCTAAAACAAATAGCCAAATTCATCTAAGGTCAACTTTTTAAGTTTTAGTTAAAGTGAGGTTTTGGTCACATCATCATCAGTCTAACATAAAAGTCCCAGACATGACAACATTTCAAATAAAAAACCAACAGCCTGATTAATGAAAAACAAATATGTTCATTATAAAGTTAATTGTTTATTACATATGCCAAATTTGGGATTTAACCCAGATTTCATGGTTCACAGAACACAGTATACTTGTTGAATAAAGATGTTTTTAAAACAAGTAAAAATATAAAAATAATGTGGTAGGATAGTATAAAAAGGCGGAAAAATCTCATAATATTGATTGATGATTGCAATATTGTTCCTTTAGTATGAATGGGTGGATGGATGGCTGTTTAAAAGTCCATTGGTATGTTCATAAAAGTTGGGCTTTTGATTGTTTAATATAAAACAGCAATAATTTGCATATAATATAAACAAAAAATAATGTGTTCAATAACATATGATGGCAAACGATCCTTTCAAGTATGAAAGCTTCCATAAAACGTTCTCAGAGTAGTTGTGTTCTGTAGGTGTCATTTTGGTACAATTGTCCAAACTAAAGACTCTAAAGAGCCTGTGTCGCTCACTTTGATCTATGAACATCTTTAACAATGACCACTCTTCAACATTGAACACTAGAATATCATTCATGAACAAAAACTCTTTTTTTTATGTTTATCTTGTATTGCTGATCATTTTTGGCTCACCTGGCCCATAGGGCCAGTGTGAGCTTTTGCCATCACTTAAAGTCACTGTCTGTCATCGTCCTGTAACTATTACAAAAATCTTTTCTGAAAAATCTGGGCGATATTTAACCAAACTTGGCCACTATCACATTTCGGGTATCTATTTTTGTCTCGCCTGTGACAGTGAGACATATGGATTGCTTTTCTTACGATGATGACGGCGTTAACAATTGTTAAGTTTTCTGCTAAGTTAGTTTGATAGGAACTACTTGTGATGGATCATTGATATTTATCACAAAGTTGCATTACTATCATTACATATCAGTTTGACGACTATTTTGAGGCCCTGTCCCCTAGGTCATGGTTCAGCGACTTTGAATTAATTAGCAATTTTCAATGTCAAGTTTTCTGCTTTCTAGGTCAAGGTTCAGTGACTGAATTAATTAGCAATTTTCAATGTTAAGTTTTCTGCTTAAGTTAGTTTGATAGGATCCTCTTGTGATAGATCAATGATATTTAATATAAATTGCATTACTATCAGTTTGGACAACTATTTTAAGGCCCTGCCCCTTAGGTCATGGTTCAGCGACTTTGAATTAATTAGAAATTTTCAATGTTAAGGTTTCTGCTTAAGTTAGTTTGATAGGATCCTCTTGTGATAGATCAATGATATTTTGTATGAAGTTGCATCACTATCATTACATATTAGTTTGACAACTATTTCGAGGCCCTGTCCCCGAGGTCATGGTCCAGCAACTTTCAATTAATAAGCAATTTTTTATGTTACATTTTCCGCTCAAGTCAGTTTGATAGGAACTACTTCTGATAGGTCAATGATATTTTCTATAAAGTTGCATTACTATCAAAACATATCAGTACGACGACTATTTTGCAGCCATGCCCCTAGGTCATGGTCCTGTGACTTTAAATTAATCAGCAATTTTCAATGATAAGTTTTCTGCTGAAGTGAGATTGATAGGAACTACTTACAATAGACGATATTTTCTATAAAGTTACATTACTGTCTGTACATCTCAGTTTGTCGATCATTTCTAGGCTCTGCCCACAAGATCATGGTCCAGTGACTTTGAAATAATAAGTATTTAATGTTGCTGTCCATCAGATTGTCGTTTTCTGAATTTTATGCCGACAGACGAGACATATCTCTGTGTTAACAGTTTTTTAAAAAAAGTGTTGGATGACCAGACCTACTTTTACTAACATTGCCGATAGTGCTAATATGCATGCTATGTCTATTATCTTGAAAACTGCTATAGATAGAGAAAATCTGATGGGCATAAATGGCCAAAATTGTCAGTTGACGCCTAATTGAAGTACTGCCTTGAAGGTCTTGTGGTAGGATGTTTGCCTCGAGTGTGGAAGGTCATGGGATCAAACTAAAGGCTTGAAAATTGGTATTTTATGCTTCTCCACTAAGCACAGGGCATTTAGGAGTATGAGCAAAGACTGGTCAGCTTGGAGTCGGAATAATATGTCGGGGTACAGTGACATGTGTTCCTGGACACGTTGACTTACTTTTTGAACAAGCATGTTAAAAATCACACTCAGCATGTCAGTTTAGTACAAAGCCGGTTTTTATATTTATATCACATTAGCATTTAATTTACCACTGGACATTAAACATCCATTCATCCTTATTGGATTTATTCTTTTTATATGATGATTTTTTACCAATTTTGCTTTTTTGCCTTTTATCTAAAAATGTATAATAGATAGATAAAAACTCAAGAATATCAGCAAATAATCCTGCATGGTCAAAATCATCAGTTGACTCGTCATTGTAGTTATTGCCCTTAATGATTTTTACCCTTTTTTATACACCCGTTTACGGGACGTATTATGGTATACTGTTGTTTTGTGTATAAGTTTCATACCATTTGGTTGAGGCAAACTTAAAAAAGAGAACGGAAACGAAAAATTCAGCAATTTTTCCCATTTGTAAAGGGGCATAACTCTAGAACAGTAAAAGTGACACCACCAAATTTCAAATTTGATCTGTATTTTGTAGTAATAAGCATTGTGTATAAGATTCATAACATTTTGTTGAGGCAAACTAAAGTTAGAGAACGGAAACGAAATATTCAGCAATTTTTCTATTTGTAAAGGGGCATAACTCTAGAACAGTAAAAGTGACGGCACCAAAATTCAAACTTGATCTGTGTTTTGTGGTAATAAGCATTGTGTATAAGTTTCATAACATTTGGTTGAGGCAAACTAAAGTAGGAGAAAGGAAACCAATTTTGGGACGGACAGATGGAGGGACAAGGGTAAAACTTAATGCCACCTCCGCAACGGAGGGGGCATAAAAAGGGGGGATATTCCAGTATTTCGGACAATAACTCAAAAAACCTTTTAGCAGTTATCATGAATCTTTGGTGACTTGTTTATATCTATTGAAATAAGCTCCCTTTTGTTTTTTTTTATAAATTTCTGATATGACATTGCGGAGTTATGGAACTTGATTAGTTGAAAAATTGTCGAAAACTTTCCATTTGGCGACGGGCGTATCATGTGCTCATTGCACCTCTCCTTATTGAGATATAAGGTTAAAACACTAAAATTGGTCAAAAATCATCATTTAAGGATAATAAGCCATGTTGATTTATATGTAGATCTTGCCTAGCTGATCATTTTTGCTGCTCAAGGTGTCTTATAGTATTCAAGATTACATCCAAAATGACAAAATGGGTAAACATTTTAACTCAAGGGCAATAACTCCTAATACCAACCAACTGAAGATTTTGGGCGTGTTAATTCATTGTAGATTTTATTTTGCTAGTCACTTTGACAGTTTAAGTCTTGTCTCAATAATAGCCAATAAAATGCTCCGCAGGGCGCAGCTTGATACGACCGCAGAGGTCGAATTCTGAACAGTTGGGGCAAGTATGGACACAACATTCAAGCTTGATACAGCTTTGCATTTGGATTGTGATTAAATATTTGACACAGCATAGGTTTCTGACACAGAATGAATGTGGTCTAAGAACTTAAAAATTTTAAATTGGACATTCACCTATTATGGTCCAATATCCAAAATCTAAATACATGGATAGATTCAGCATATCAAAGAACCCCAAGAATTCAATTTTTGATGAAATCAAACAAAGTTTAATTTTGGACCCTTTTGACCTCAATATGGACAAAGTTGATAACGGGGCCCAAAAATGAAAATCTAAATACATGGTTAGATTCAGCATATCAAAGAACCCCATATATTCAATTTTTGTTGAAATCAAACAAAGTTTAATTTTGGACCCCGATTTGGACCAACTTGAAAACTGGGCCCATAATCAAAAATCTAAATGCATGTTTAGATTCAGCATATCAAAGAACCCTAAGAATTCAATTTTTGTTAAAATCAAACTAAGTTTAATTTTGGACCCTTTGGACCTTAATGTAGACCAATTTGAAAACCGAACCAAAAATTAAGAATTTAAATACACGGTTAGATTCGGCATATCAAAGAACCCCAATAATTCAATTTTTGATGAAATCAAACAAAGTTTAATTTTGGACCCTTTGGACCTCAATGTGGACCAATTTAAAAACGGGGCCCAAAATCCAAAAACTTACTACACGGTATGATTCAGCATATTAAAAAACCCCAAGAATTCAAGAATAAAACCCCATTGAAATTGGTCAAGAAATAAGCAATTTATACGAAGTATCTTCTTTTGCACAATACTGTGCAATTAAATATTTCTTGCTATTGCGCAATACTGTACAATTGACAATTTCTTGCTATTGCGCAATATTGTGCTATTGGATATTTCTTGCTATTGCGCAATACTGTGCAATTGAAGATTTCTTGCTATTGCGCAATACTGTGCAATTGAAGATTTCTTGCTATTGTGCAATACTGTGCAATTGAAAATTTCTTGCTATTGCACAATACTTATTATATAATAATTTACACATTCTGTTTGGTGTGTTTCTCCTACCATATCATTATTATTTGCTTTTAAATATAAATCAGAAATAACCAACTTAAAAGAAAAAAAAAAGGAAAAAAAGAAAAAAAAGGAAAAAAAAAAAAAATCCCCCCCCCCAAATTTTTTGAACCCCCTTATGATTCATCACCCCCAAACTCAATCCCAGCCTTCCCTTTGTGGTATGGTACCTTGCAGTACAATTTCAGAGAGATCCATACACTTGAACACAAGTTATTGTCTGGAAACTAGAAAAATGTGTTTTTTAGCCCCTTTTGGGCCCCAAATTCCTAAACGTTTAGGGCAATTACCCCCAAACTCAAACCCAGCTTTCCCTTTGTGATATGGAACCTTGTAGTACAATTTCAGAAAGATCCATACACTTACACACAAGTTATTGTCCTGAAACTAGAAAAATGCTTGTTTTTTGCCCCTTTTTGGCCCCTAATTCCTAAAATATTGAGGCAATTACCCCCATCATCAATCCCAGCCTTCCCTTTGTGGTATGGTACCTTGCAGTACAATTTCAGAGAGATCCATACACTTGAACGCAAGTTATTGTCTGGAAACTAGAAAAATGCTTATTTTTGGCCCCTTTTTGGCCCCCAATTCCTAAACTTTTCAGCAAATTACCCCCAAACTCAATTCCAGCTTTCCCTTTGTGATATGGAACCTTGTAGTACAATTTCAGAAAGATCCATACACTTACACACAAGTTATTGTCATGAAACTAGAAAAATGCTTGTTTTTTGCCCCTTTTTTGGCCCTTAATTCCTAAAATTTTGAGGCAATTACCCCCAAAATCAATCCCAGCATTCCTTTTGTGATATGGAACCTTGTGGTACAATGTCAGAGAGATCCATACACTAACACACAAGTTATGTCTGGAAGTTACAAAAATGCTTATTTTTGGCCCCTAATTCCTTTACTGTTGGTACCATAACCCCCAAAATCAATCCCAACCTTCCTTTTGTGGTATTGAACCTTGTGGTAAAATTTCATAGAGATCCATTCACTTAAACTAAAGTTAGAGTGCGAAAACCAATGTGTCTTCGGACAACGCCAGACGAAGACGACGACGACGACGCCTACGTCATACCAATATACGACCACAAAAATTTTTTTGCGGTCGTATAAAAACCAATAGCCAATTTGTTGAAAATGGACATTTCAGGGGCAACAACTCCAAAATCTGTTGTCTGATTTTCTGAAAATTTCTAAGAAGATAAACCTTGCCCTGATCTTTTTATCCTTGTCAGTTTTGCTCTTACTGCTTTAGTTTTTAAATGTAAGCCAAAAGCTGCAGTTTCACTTAATTTTTTTTTACGACAGAAACCATGTTTGTTGATGGATTATATCCTCTGATATAATTTTTAAAATAGATTCTCAATGGAACATTAAGGTAAAGTTTGGTAACATTAGGCCAAGTTGTTTCAGAGAATATTTTTTTTTTTTTAAAGTTTTATGACCTCAGACTGCAAGTGAAGTAATAACTGGCATGGCCTATTGATCCTTCCTGTCTTGTGTTAAAGTTTTGGTTTATATCTCATTTTGTAAGTTTGCCTCAATCTGGTGCAATAAAATTGGTACTGTTAATGATATTCTACCCATGTGCACATCTGTATATCAGGATCTGACAATGTACTAACATTAACACATTCTACCCATGTAAACATCTGTATATCAGGATCTGACAATGTACTAACATTAACACATTTTACCCATGTAAACATCTGTATATCAGGATCTGACAATGTACTAGCATTAACACATTCTACCCATGTAAACATCTGTATATCAGGATCTGACAATGTACTAACATTAACACATTCTACCCATGTAAACATCTGTATATCAGGATCTGACAATGTACTAACATTAAAACATTTTACCCATGTGCATATTTGTATATCAGGATCTTAGAATGTAATATCATACAACAGTCATCCTAGAACTGGTTAGGTTTCATTTGGTATTATGAAATAGAGATAAGAAAATAACATCAATTCTTCTGAGAATTTATTCTTTGAATACACCACAAGTGTTTTCTATAAATATACATGATGCAAAACAATATCTTATTGCACATATAATGATCATCTACTATGGTTTGAATCCTGTGATTACGAGAAAAAATATATGGCATCTGAGTAATTTCTAATTATATTTAAACAACTATCATCTATTTACACATTTGAACTACTATCATTTTCTCTAGTTACTGATAGATTAGCCTTTGTTTAGGAGTTATATTAATCTCTATTTTTGGCAAATTAAAATATAATTTTATGTCCTCTGAAAAATTAAAATGTGAAAATAGTGCTTACCCAAGTTTAAAATTTCAGTTACCGAAAAATATTTAAATTATAAAATTGAGATAAATCTGTTTATGATACTGTTTCTTACAAGAATGAATATTTTAATTTAATTTTCTAAAACAAAAGACCATCAAATAAATAGAAAGTCTGAAATATAAAAGTAAACTAGAAAAATAAATATAAAATCATTAACTGTTCCAATATGTGTTAATGTTTTGTGTTATCTATCTCAATAGTATTGAGAAAATACTATAAATTTGGCATGTTCCTAAAGTTACGTTTGTTTTCTGGACAGATTAAACACAATGCATATCATGTTTCAATCACTACATAGTTGTTATGGTTTGGGTATTCACACATTGTGTAATGTTACTAGAGATGCATGACTACTGAGTATATAATATACATATATTTCCTAAAAATATTCAACAGTCCCTTAACATCAACCTAGCTTTTTGAGTTTATTTGAAATCCAAAATTGAATACAAGGTTACAATGACAATCACTATATTACAAATTTACAAATACATTTTTTGTATATTATGTTTATAAAACTAACAAAAAACTACTGATATGATAGGTACATAATGACTTTCTGTCTGCATCTTTATTAATCTGTTCATTTATAAAAAAAAATCTCCATACACAAGATTATATATAAATTTTGCATCTTCTCTGCTAAGCACTCTGCATTTAGGAGAAAGAGCAAAAACTGGTCAGCTCAAAGTTAAATAAAACTTGTTCCAGTAGGGTGTCATACCTTCAGGTTACCTTGTGAGCTGGCACATAAGTCCTGCTCAGCAGGTTGGCTTTGTATAAAGCAAGGTGTCTAAAGATTATTTTTACATGTTATAAAACTAGCCATTTTTGGTTTGAAATTATTCCTTTTCATTCGTTTAACACAGCCATGAAATGACAATTAATTTCGTAATGGCAAAATTACACATAATTTGTTCAACTTGTACATGTTAAGAAATATTAAAGATCACTAACCCAACCCAAAAACATGTTAAAGACTGGAAGTTTGTTTTGAGTTTATCTTTTCCTGGCAAAAAATTCTTTGGGACATTACATGATCTCTGTTACTTTAGCCAAAATATTCCTGAAATATGTTTAGTTTTGCTAAAGGACTGATAAATCTTCCTGATGATGTCACTATCAGATTATGTCCTTACTTACGTCATTACTAACATGTTCTTAAAGCTTTTAATCTCAAGTTTAAATTGTGATTGATAATGCTATCATACAATTTTATTTTTTGGGTGATTTTTAAGGGGCAAATAAGCCCTTAAACACATTTTTTTTTCTTTAACATAAGCTGTAGAAATTGTCATCAATCTATTTGACATGACAAAGCATGAAACATATTTCAAATAATGTTAGCTAAACTCTAACTTTGTTATCTGATTTAAATCACATTTATAACCAAATGGTAAACCGACAAGAAAATTATCATCAAATTTATTATTACAAATGACATATTTATTAATCTTTTAATCTTAAATGGCATTCAAGCTTAAACAATGTATGTATAATCATTTTTTTTATGAATTTTTCAATAGTTTGCATTGGAAGTACACAAAAGCAGTATGCATATTTAAATACAATTAATATGTAAAACAAAACTACACAAAATTCAACAATGTTTACATAAAATCTTAAAGCATAAATATTCCATTTGGAAAAGTTAAATAGTTATAAATCTGTTTGTTATGAAGACTTCCATATCTTAATTTAATAATGTCATTTCTTCACATATAGATCTTACTACAATCTGATGACAACCTGATATAATAAAGTTACTAACATATAAAGAGCTAAATGTAATGTTTGGAATAAAACTGATATTCACTGAACCTACCCCTTCATATTTACCAAAGTTATTTCATATACTGAGGAATTGTTTTTTTTTTTTACAAATTACTAGAAGTATGCTTACAAACTTTGATAGAATTAAAAATTCAGTGCAATTGATTGTTATGCTGCAAATAACTTCATGATCACATTCTATCAAGTAAAACACTACTCCTTTTAAATAATAATAAATATCAGCTTTCAAATCCAACAACATAAAGTTACTGTAAATGATTTTTAATTTCGACTCTTATCAAATAGAATACTATACAGGTATTTCCCATTATTACTGACTTAAAAAAAAAAAAAAAAAAAAAATCATTGATGATCTGTGATTAAAATATCTTTTTCGAAAATTTAAGCAGTGTCAGATATCATTTTCAATTAAATATCATTTAAAAATATAAAAACCATATTGCTAAATTCATGATATCATACTGGGGTAGTTCTTGTATTTTATAAAAACACTGAAAACTGATTTGAATGAAACATAAAACTCTGCCATTTTTAAAATAACTTTTTCCTTAATTTCTACTCTTTTGAATAAAAATCATAAGATAAATTCAAATATAACAGCAATGAAAATGGAATGAAAAATTGTTTTATAACAGAATAAATCAACAAAATAACATAATAAACATAGTGAAGAAATAAAATAAAATAAAATAAAATACCGCTGGATTGGTTCAGCAGCTTCTTATTCTTATTCTTATTCTTATAGTGAAGAAATGTAAATAGTTTCTACATAACATTGTTCTGAATCAGTCGATCTCTTATTACCCGTTCACTGAAATCACCGTAACGTTAATGAACATTTTTAGAATTGGTTAATCAAATTTTTATTCCAAAGCTTAATTCTAAACATACCAAATGTTCAGTTTCAACTAAAAACAATATGGTATACATTCAATAATTTATACTGCATTACAGTTTGAAAAATAAATGTGTTACACCTGTTTTTGTGCCACATCGTAAAAACTCTGTTTAAAATACAATGTATGATTGACCTACAATGAATTAAAGTATATATCTGTCCAGTTGCATGCAACTTTCTCAATCTTTACAATATGAACATTAAAAAAAATCATAACTTCTCCAAATCTTCTCGTTTCTTCTGTCTAATGAAATCCGTAAACTTCGACCACTTTACAAGTAAAGTCTTGATTAGAACACAAGGGTTCATTGTCAAATGTATCACAATGTTGAGAACGACAATGTTCTAAGTTAGCATCTAACTGGATTGCTTCACCATGTCTGCAAATATAAAGTATTCATGGAAGATAAACTAAATTCAACCTTTTAATTTTACTTGATTTATCTTTAATTTTAAGACAACTATAAACAAAGGTATCATTAATTAAACAAAAGGTGTTTTCCAGGGTTCTTTCTTTCTAATCTGAACACTTAGTAATGGCAAAAGTATGTGTCCCTTTTGTCCTGCTGAGCCAAAAATACATAAACAATACACAGAGATATGTCTTCCCTTTTTGCAATAGTATAATGATAATGTTGAATTTAAAATGGCAATACTTTAACATGTAAGCTATGCAAAACATTCAAAGTCAATGAACCATAACTGAAGGTGCAGGGCCAAATAACCTCTGTCGGAACAGTAAATACCAATAAAACTGCATACCAAATAACATTGCATTGACTTTTATATCATAAGTGGTTCCTTTTAAACTGACTGAAAAACAAACCTTAACATGTAAACTTGGGGTTCCATGTGCTTGATTTTTGGCTAAAAGCAGAAAACCTCATTTTTCATAGACAGTATTTCTAATTTAGGCACAGAGCATGTAGGTGTATTGTTGATGCAACATAGCCACTTAAGTAATCCCTCCCTATACCACTAGGCTCAATGCATCTCTGACGTTTTTCCTTAGAAGCTGCTTTCAAATTCACATAACTGATTTACCTGGTAATGACGTCAATGTGTTTTTTTTTCAATTCTGATAAAGAGATAACTTTATTGAATTTGAAACTTGGTTTATGTGAAATATGGGTTTAACTGTTGCAAATTAAGTTTGTCTAGCAACCCATTGCAGAGCAAGGTAAACAGATATTTGCCACAATAAAAAGTTTTACATAGGCCAAACTTCAAATACAATACGGCTATTTTGATTCTGATGCAAAATAAACAAATCAGTCCATTGTTGTCATTATATCTGTGAAATTTTCATTAACAAAAATGCCTAAAATGGTGTCTACTTCGACAACCTAACAAGATGATGTCATAGGTAAGCCTCTGCTTCAAACCTGGCACCAGACGTTTTTAGGCTTCTTGTACTCTTCAGAATATGATAAAATTTGACAAAAAGAAGATTTTAGGTAAAAAATGTAATTTCTTTTTTTTACTATAGAAGACATCACATGTCAAAACATATCTGAATTCATAATGTCGGCTTCCCTTAGTTACAGACTAAATTAAAATTTATACACAGGGTGTCATCCAATTAGAACCATTAATTACTAGCATGATTAACAACTTTGCAAAAACAACATGCTAAACTTGGATGAGTTGTTATCTGTCCATGCTACTGTACATGTTACACAAATAAACCTTTTACAATTACTACACTTACCCTCCTCCTATAGTTAAGACACTATTGTCTCCAGCTAAGAACATGTGTGCAGTGTTGGGTATCTCTTCTTCACGAAGTCCCACCCACTCATACTTTCTCTTCTTTGGACTCAATGTAAAAATAAAGGTTTCTCCTGTCCCAAAATAGCAGAGTCTTCTTGAGCTCTGTCGTCTGTCTCTCCAGTAATTAGAACAAAAGGCACCAAATACCTGGGAATAAATATATATAAAAATATCATAAATACAGCTAATATAAAAATAAGATGTGATATGATTGCCTATGAGACAACTCTCCACCAGAGACCAAATGACATATAAGTGAACAACTATAGGTCACAGTATGGTCTTTAACAATTAACAAAACCCATACTGCATTGTAAGATATAAAAGCCCCGAAATGACAAATTTAAAATAATTCAATGAGAAAACCAACGACCTTATTTATGTACAAACCAATAATTCAAATACAAATATACGTATATTATATATTGTGTCAGGTACCAGTTGAAAGTGTTTGTATGATGACTACAGCTATCAAATCTTCAACCAAAAAACACAGACTCCTTTTCACAGGTATCTGGAAATGCCACAACAATATCAAAGATTATTTATTTTTTCAATATGCATCTCAAAGTGCTTGTGAGTACAAAAGGGTAAAGATTGCTTTCATTTTGCAATTTTGTGAATTTAAAATAAAACATTGAATTGTATTTAGTTATATTTTGAGTTGGAGTTATCTTCCTTTGTTTATGATTGTACATTTGTAGTTAATAAAGAACATTCTTCTTGATAAGTATGGTAATTCACATCATATTGTAATTGGAATATCTTAGTATAACATATCATTAACAAATTGTTTCACGTTGACTGGATGGGATCTAAAGAATGATCAGTTCACTGCACTATTTTGTAACTATGAGAGGTAGTGATAAATCTTGGAAGATTTAGATATCAAGTCAGTACCATAAGGTTTTGATTACATTTCATGCAATCGTTCAGTAAACTGTGAAATTGGGGCAAAACCTTAATTTGGCATATAATTTAGAAAACCTCATACTGTGGATTCATTTATTTTCGAGGGTATCAATTTTCGTTGAAATGAGGAAAACTTGCATGTTTGTGGATATTTGATTTCGTGGTTTTGCCAAACACTGCATACAAAGCCTATAGAAAATTTGTAATTCGTTGAACATTTGAATTCGTGGTTCACCTGTACCCACGAAACCCACGAAAATTGGTTTCCCACGAATAATTATGAATCCACAGTTTTTAACATTTGTAATAAGTTTAACTTCATGGGAATCTACCTTAATCCAAAATGTGTATTTGATACGAGAGTGACGAACAAATGGGTGGAAGCACAGACCAGAAAACATTTTGCATTAACTAGAAAAAGTAGAATTAGGTGAACAAGAGATCACAGGTACCATTGCCTCCAGTATAACTCTATAACAGTAAAAATCCATTGTCAAAACCAAATTGAACTGCATATTGTATTTCACAGCATTGTGTTTAAATAATGAAGGAATCTGTAAAGTGTAACATTGAAAACAAAAAACTATTTTTTTAGAAAAATTAAGGGCATAATCATTTACCAGTCAACATCAATTCTATCAAAATCCCACTTCACCTGTAGTTTATTGTTCATGAAATCAAGTTAAAATTTAGTAAGATTCTGTGAAGAGATACTAAAGTTATCATTAGGAGTAAAAAAAAACTATTTTAAAGATAATTAAGGGGCATAACTCATAGAAAGGTAAAAGATAAAAACTGTCAAAATTGAACTTAACCTATATTAAATGGTTCATGACATCTAGCAAAAATCTAAACATATTTCGTTGAGCAGTAGTACTCTAATTTTCATATGGAAAACACAACTAAATCTATTTTTTCCAATTATTAAGGGGAAAAACTATTGAACAGTACATGCCAAAACCATCAAAAAAAGATCTTGAACTGTATTTTATGGCGTATGACATTCTGCTTAAATGTAAAAAGATTTTGTTGAGCAGTACTCTAATTCTTAATTGGAAAAAAACAAAAAAATTCCAATTTTTTTTATATAATAAAGGGACAGAAAGCCAAAATCGACTGTATTTTATATTCATGACATTGTGTTTAATTTCAAACAGTTTGGTCAAGCAGTACTTTAATTACTATGAAGAAACAAAATTTGTGATGTGTTGAAGCACATGTGAATCACTGTTTACCCCTGCCTCAGAAGATTACAGCCTATATTGAGAAATTTATGCCACAGTGTTTTATAATTGTAAAATCTAAACCATCTATTTCTAAAATTCACCTCATCTGTAGTTGTTTTTATAAATATGAGTGTTGGTTGGTATGATTCAACTCTGGAATACAATGTCATTAGGCTAGTGCCATGTTCTTCTGATGTATACAACAACTCTGGTTGGCAGACAGCAAATCGTGGAGGTAACCAGGTCCATATTGTATAAAGCTGAAAATATAAATAAATATCACTATCAACAATGATTATTTTTATACACAACAATGACTTTCTGTGCACTGGTACACTAACTGATTAACCGTGTTTATTTGTGGTAACTGAAAAAATATTATACATATTAATTTGTTAAAACTAAGCCAGTGAATTTTTGAATTATGTAAACTGACTATATAATATACAATGTTCTTTTCCATCAATTGACTTATTAACAATTTAGAAAAGAAAAATATGAACTTTGATATTATTTTGTGGAAACTGATTAATTTCTGATGTTACCCAATAGAAAATGACTGATCTGCAACTTTAATTGCTGATGCTGATTACTTTAATCATTTACATTTGTTGAATTCAATGATCAATATAATGCACTAAAAGGTTCAAAAGTTTCCTTATAATCCAACTGCAATAGTAATACAGCAAATACATGAACATCAGTAAATACTATGTAGTAATAGCAATGGCTATTTTGATCAATTTTCAGAGCAAAAACTTTAAGCTGACATTTCAAAAAGTTTAACTTTTGTTTTTGCTACAATAAATGAAAATAACACTTTATTAATTTGATGTGTCTGAAGTGCTTTTCTGGATTGGCCTTCATTAGGTACTCAAAACTAAAACATTTAAAAGTCAAGGTTATATAAGACCAAAACACATGAAGAGCTATATGACCAAAACGGACCTGAAAAATAGCCGAATTCATCTAAGGTCAACTTTGCCTGAGGGAGTGTAAACCTTAGTTTCTTAAAAATTTCTTAATTTGTCAAGGGAGAATTTACAAAAAGTTTGTTGTAAATCATGTCACTACAGAAGCACTGACTACTGAGTTGATGATACCATTATAGCTTAATTTTGCAATATTTATTATATGCTATGACTTCTTTTAAGATATTTAAAAATCATCAGCAGAGCTATTTCAGTTTTGTAAGTAAAATAATTACAGATTTTAGCTACGAGATGTAAAAAAAATTTTGTTTTTGTTTTTGTTGAATCACTAATGAAAGTGATACAGTGAAAAACTTATTCGCTTTAGCAACCAATTTGGTTAAATTTGTCAAAATAAAATAAGAAACATCAACCTTATTGTATCTGTATTCATGTGACCTTTAATTTAACCCCTTAGCTGGAGATGGGTTACGCTTGTATTCAGCTATAAAAAGAATGTCAACATTGAAAGTGAAACAAGGATGAATCATTTGGTTGACTGATTAGATCCACAAAAAATCATTCTTACACAGGTAAAAACGATGATAAACATACTTTTTAACCTACAATATGAAATCAAACAGACATAGAAAAATACAATTGCACGTGGTCACTATCTGCTTATATTTATATTTATGTTTATATCAGGTTATATGACCGTCGGCAGTCTTTGGAGGTCATCACAATAGTTAATTAGATGACGTCTAGACAAAAATACACACAAAATGTTGATACATATTATCCAGTCCAGGGATTGTTAATTGTTTATTTTAGACTTTTTGTAATTTGGATACACGTTTTAGTATGTTATTAATCCAATATGAGAATTTAAGTTATATCGGTGAAGATGAATTTGACAGCTAATGCCCTTGAAGAAGTTTTTTTTTTTAGACATATTCTATTTCAATACATATGTAATAAAATGGGTCAGCCTTGATACGACAACAGAGGTCAAACCTTGAACAGCTGGGGCAAGTATGGACAATACATTCGAGCTTGATACAGCTCTGAATTTGGATTGTGATTAAATATTTGACACAGCATAGGTTTCTGATACAGAATGAAGAATGAATGTGTGCAAAGAACTGAAACATTTGAAATTGGACTTTTACCTATTATGGTCCAATATCCAAAATCTAAATACACGGTTACATTCAGCATATCCAAGACACCAAGAATTTAATTTATTTATTAATCAATGGACAATATTAGCTAAGTTTTTAAAATGCTCCATATAGGAATTTAGTTTAAGCTGTAAATTGGTAGGAAACTTTTTATTAAACTAATTTTTTGGTGTTTGAATATTGCTACAAGTGGGGTACAGATGGCTGTGTATGGTAGTCGAAGTTTATTTATCATCAGGTAATGATTGAAGTTTTAAAACATATTGTGACTTTGGGTGGTGGGAAAGTGGAGGACATTCATCATTCTTGACATTGTTAAACTGTTAGCATTTAGAAATTAATATTGATAATTTAGTAATTTTAGGAATGAATGATGTAGTGGAAATGAAATGCAGAATAAAATTATATCTAAGATAAAGGATAATCTTGTATTATAATAAATTGAAGATTTTAATTTTTTTTTAACAAAATAGGATAATAATATTGTGGCATGAAATTGGGTATGAATTGGTAATTATGGTTTATGGGATTGTAATTCTAAGTTGCTGGGATGTTATTTTAATTAGATTTGTGAATTTGTGGTTAGAATTGTTCTGAAGGTAACATTAATGTTGTGTATTTTAGAGTGGATTATCATTTAATTGTGGTTTGAGTTATTTCCCTTTGAACAGAAATGTCAATATGTTTTAGGTATATGTGGGAAATTTGGACCTACTTGAAAACAACAGCCTAAAATTAAAGTTCTAAATACATGGTAAGATAAGGCATATCAAAGAACCCCAATATTTCAAGATAATATAAAACCCTTTGAAATTGGTCAGAAATAAGCAATTCAAACAAAGTTTAAAAAAATTGTTTGTTTTTTACACTTTTTTGGCCCCTAATTCCTTAGCAGATATGGCCATAACCCTCAAATACAATCCAACCTTCCTTTTTGTGGTATGGAACCTTGTTGTACAATTTCATACAAATCCATACACTTATTCAAGTTAATGTCTGGAAAACAGAAAAATGTTTGCCTTTGGCCCCTCTTTGGCCCAAAATTCTAAAACAGTTTAACCCACCAAATCAATCACAGGCTTCCTTTTGTGGTATGGAACCTTGTGGTACAATTTCATATAGATCCATACACTAATACTCAAGTCATTGTCTGGAAACCAAATGTCTTCAGACAATGACGACATTGCCATATCATTTTTTTTTGTGGTCGTATAATAAAAATTATTAAAGTTAATATGTAACTGAATAATTTCAGATAAATTAAGTTTCTGACAAACCTCAGCACAATCTGGAACATTACATCCTTTTGGATTTGGACATAATGGATAATTATTAACTTGAAGTTTTATTTTAGATGTCAGTCCTTGACTTTTATGTTTCTTATGAAGTCCTTTCAAGAAATGCTGAAGTTTACACAATTTCTCCATTCCACAGAATAAACAATTTTAAAACACTCCAGATGTTTAATACAGTTTACTACGTATTGTCCTCAAATTCAATCAGATCGTTTTTGACAAAATCCACTATAAGTATATGAATGAATGTTCAATTTGGAACATCAACAGCCTCCAATAATACTCTACAGAACAAAATATGGCTTAGCATGTTTAAAATCCTGCATGTCTTTTCCTTTGTTTAACAGCTGACTTATTTTCTAGTTTTCACTTGATGAGAAATACAGGATAGATCAATCACATTTTGACAAGTATGTCCTAAAACAGACCTAGTCTTACACTCAATCACATATGGTTACTAGAATATACAGGTACTATTACATCATATACATACATTTTGGTTACAAGCTTATATTTAATATATTGCAACAAGAGCACTAATTTCACATAACAACAGATATACAAAAGAAAATATTCACTTTATTGTATTTTGATTTGTATCAAAACAATTTTGATGATTTTCTGGATAACAAATAAGGTAAAGTTTAATGCTGTTTTGAAATTCTTCACGCATAGAAACATGAATCTCTAAATATGACAACTATATTCATTACATAAGATTAAACCATCATTTTTTGCTATTTCTTTGTACTTTCCACCTATATGTTTTTTTTATGTTGTCGACAATTTATGTCTCTACTGGCAATATTTAAAATTACGTAAACAATAATATGAAATTTAAACAAGTTAAATGTAATTTTGAGAATGTTAAGTAAACAGCAGAATAACATATTTAAATGTGAATATTTCATCAAATATAAAGTTAAAGTGTTTAATGAAATGATATATTTATACAACTGTACATTGTCGTTAGATCATTTCTATGATTGTAAGGTAGCCTTTGAAAAATTCATTGAAAATGACTTAGTAACCCTTAGTCATATGAATGTGGATTCATAAAGTTGTCATACTAATACCAATTCACTTCTGGTACCAGTTTATCTCCGGAGTCATCAGGTGACTAGGTGAAAACTCAGTTATAAGAAAATCATCAGAATGAATAAATTAATATATTTCTTTTTATCATTTATATATCATCTATGAATCAATTTATGTTTACAAAACTTTTACATGGATCTGGGATGAATTGCATTAATTAAAAATTTATAAAGGTCTACAAAAGGAAATATGAAAGACAAGTTAGTAATAAACAAAAAAATGGCATTGTTTTTACTCTGCAACTTATTAAGTTCTACTTATTACTTTAGTGTTCAAAGAAGACAAATGGAGAAATGATTGTAAAATGTCCAAATAAAAATATCTGTATACATCTTTAGACTTTACATGTATTGTTGACTACAATACAGAATCAGGTTTCATGTTGGTGAGTCATGTATTCAATTTGTCAAAAACACCTGACTTACAAAAGTTCATTGTTCTCCCTTTGTTGTTTTAGTCATAAAAATGTAAGAATCAAGTGGATATTTTGAGACAATTAAGGAATCAGTTTGTTTAATATTGTATTGAACTTTAAAATAATTTTTTGATTGTATTGATTTCTCTATTTTGTGAGTTAGAAATGCTGATCATATGGAATCGACTGTCTTCAAAACATACTATTCCTAAACTTGATGACAACACTTCTCCATATACAATGACAGTTGTACTTTAAACTCATCTTTCAGCATATTAATCACATTACTGTCATATAGCTATCATATTTACAATGAAGAATAAAATTCATAATGTTTTTTTCTCAACCTTATAATATATAAAAATTGTCAGTAAATTCATTTTGCAATCAAAAGAATAGAAAAAGCAGTCTATAAATAGCCAATGCATTAAAAACTGATTTATCCTTAAAGACACAAGAGCAACTTTTATGTAAATTTAAAAGACAAAAGTGATGCATGCATTTATAAAAAAGGAAGTGCACATGGAACTAAAATAAAAGTAAATAATAAAGAACATCCAATGGGAGATAACTCAGAATATAAAAAAATACAACAAGGGAAGTAACTCACATCTTCCATCATCATGGCTCTTGAATCAATTTGAGGGAGAGCCAAAATTCCAACAGAATGTGATCTCATTTTACTGCATGGCTTAATATAAAATAAATATTTTTTTTAATATCATTCACTGAGAAAAAATAGAAAAATGTACTGACAATTCAAAAAAATATTAGATAAAAGTGAAAACATTGCAATATGTCTTAACAGCACTTGAAGCGCAACAAAAATACCCAAAAACCCCAGAAAATAAACAACAACAGTGGTCATCATACTTCAAAATGATAAGGAGAGGTAACTTTTATTTCCCTGGCAGCGAAACAGGGAGAAATCATGCCATGGTTGGGAGACTTCAAGGACAAATCCAAGACAATTGAAGGAGAAGTAATGCATATATGCAATTTAACAACAATGCATAATAAATCCCTAATTAGACATGTTGTGATGATTTAGATACTAGAGAAACTCAGCTGGTAAATATTCTTGCTTTGCAGTTTTTCAAACTACTTTTGGAGTTCAGAATTTTTTTAATACCTTTATTTTCATGTTATACCAAATTTTCATTGATATCCTTTTGTGTCTTTAAAAGCAGAAAATTTAACATAACACAGGAGGCAAGCTTTTATAAGTATATCAAATTGCAATGTTTTCACAATGCATTCTACATAGATCAAAATGAGATGAAAGTTTTATATCTGACTGATGTAATAATTTCAAAGTCATTTCTGTGTGAGTGAAGGAACAGGGCATCATATAATTCCAGCTTGTAACTATAAGGAATGAATGCAAATGCATTAGCATACCAAATAACAAGTATCTACATTAAATACTGTTTCATATAGATTCTACCACTGCATCGAGTGTGATACGATATTTATCCACTCGAGACAGTTAAATATTTAAAATTTAACTGTCGAGAGTGGATAAATATCGTATAACACGAGATTTGGTGGTGGAATCTGTTTCTCTAATGATTTTCAAACAATACGCAGGTAAACTTATTCCTTCTTTTCAAATGATCTGCAAGAAGATGTGTTCTATCTATGTGACGTCATCAGGCATGGTCACCTTTTTTCATGCCATCACAATAGGAAATTCAGAGGAAAGCAAGAAAATTCGACATCATAATAAGATTTTAACCAATGAAGAACTGAGATCAAACGAACCACACGTTGATTAAATTTTTTTTATACAATGGGTGTAGAAAGGGATAAATTGACGAAGAATTAGAGAAATAAGCTTATCCATTATTTTCAAGACAATAAAATGCCATCAATAAATCAATAACTCAAAAATACACCTGATCAGAAAATTCAATATTTGATTATTATAAAAATCCCAGTTGGTAGGCATGTGTTGGAGTCTAATAGTATGCTTGCAACTGAAATGCATGGATGTTAATGTAAAAGTAGGCCAAGATATGTATGGTCTATCAAAAGTACCTAAATAAAATGGATAAAAAAAATGGACATAAGGTAAAATCAATTTTCTGGTTCTCTATAAAAACTTAAAAATACTTAACAAGGATAGGAGGGTTAAATATTTATGCATTTATAATTACCTTTGATATCAACAATTATCTTACCTCCTATACATTTCTAGGAATATGATTGGTTAAAAGCAACTGAGTGGAGACCGTGTATATTCCATATTGGGTTAGTAGGCGGGGCTTATTTCAATACACGGTTAGTTGTGGTGTTACGTCCCTTTATAAAAACAACACTGTGTTGAGGAAAAATCTTAAATGTTTCAACAGACGAAGAAATTGAAAAACAGGTGTGCATTTTCTGTAAGCATCTAAAAATGTTCTTCCAGCACACCAGATTATTTTGAATTGAAATTTATAATTTTATCAATTCAAACTCTGACTGTCCTTTAACATTTACTTTAATTTCAACCAGTTTAGAAATAAAATATCAATAGTAAATCCTAACATGGCTAAATGTTTGGAAAGTGCAGTGCCTCAGTAAATGAAAGCTATATTAAGAAGCTTATGTATGTTAATTGCTACAGGCCAATGTCTTGCCACAAGTGTCAAAAAGTTTATTTGCTATCGATACATACCATATCCGAAGTTATAACACTGGAATTATTAGTTGTAATGTTGTGTAATGCTAGCGGTCCACTTGTCGAACGAGTTATGGAATGATGGGACGCCACTCGATGCATTTCATGATTAAGGAAATTACGACTGTTCAAGTACATTTCATGTTTCAGTTGTAGCTTCTTGATTTCCTTTCTTGTTAAGCCACGAATACCAAATCCTACCTGTGAAGAAATTATTACGATAAGCATGCTGCAGATGAACACTATAATGATAGATTAAGCTGATAAATCATATTTATTCTGAAAATAAATAATGATAAATAACTAATGCTTCTGAATTCTGTAAAATATATCTTTGGACCCTTGTCTAAAATTAGTTCAATTACTTATGATTACTTTAAATTGTCTATTACAAACAGTAGGACATAATACATGTATAATACATCTCCAGTTCACTTTTGACTGGAAATAAAGAGTCAAAATCTGAAATTACTAAATAAAATAAAACCATATTATCCAATTTCTGTGTAAATGACATCTATTTCTTTGAAATAAGGAATATATCTACATGTATGGGATCAACCTTATTTAAATTTTAAATGAAGAATTTCTATGTAATCAACCATATTGTTAACACAAAAGTGTCAGTTGCAGAATTATCAAAATCAAATACAATTTAATGATCCTGAAAAAAGGATATTTGTTACTTACACCAACATCTGTTAACTTACCTTAAGCAGTTTTTCTACTTTAAAAGGCATCTCCTGACAAAATTGTAAAAGATTCTGAGGTACACTGGATAAAGCATTACATTCTCTTGGAGCTACACTTGTTCTTTTTCCTGTTCAATAGAAGTTTCATTGTCAATATTTCACATTTCATACATATTTCATGTGTTTAGAGTTCATAACACTCTTTTTTCTTTCTAATTATATAATTTTGTCATTTTTTAAAGTAATTTGATTGAATTCTGGAGATTTTTGGAAGTTATCTAAAAAGGTTTTCACTTTATTTTTGTATTCCAGCATAAATGAAATGAAAATCTAATTACCACATCAGATTTATGTTCAATTATTATTTTCATATTTCAAGTGATGCAACATATGTTTTTTGTAACAGGAAGTATTGGATTCTGCAATATTTTTTTAGGAGCATAGTCCTTCTTTTTGTCTATTCTAGGAAGATTTACACAAGAATCTATTCATTTTGGGGATCACAATAAGTACTTGGCTAATAATGCAAGTTGATAAATGATTTTGAGATGTTTTAAATTAGGAATGGGTTAACTTATGATAACAGATATCATGGAATTCTAGAAATCCATTCAATTGATCAAAAGATTAGTTTTATCAGGTATGGTAGATAAACTATTTCATGTATTCTTAGATAATTATCCTGCAAATATAAAGTAAATAATTTCAAAGAGGGCTATACTATGGAAATCCTTGAAGAATGTACTAAATATATTGTCAAATTTTCAAAGAACTGATGCATTCAAATCCATGATCCTTTTGTAAACCATTGGTTTTTCACAGCAGGACAACACATTAGGGGTGTAAACTGTCAAAAAAAAGAATGTTGAATGAACATATGGAGATGTCACTAAAACAACTATTTACTGTAGACCATAGGACATTGATGTGACCTAACACAACCATTTGACCTTCAACAATGACCAAAACCTGTCCTATAAAGTAGGCTTAAACAAGAATTTGTCCATAGTAAACAGATGCCCCACTCGCACTATCATTTTCTATGTTCAGTGGACCGTGAAATTGGGGTCAAAACTCTAATTTGGCATTAAAATTAGAAAGATCATATCATAGGGAACATGTGTATTAAGTTTCAAGTTGATTGGACTTCAACTTCATCAAAAACTACCTTGACCAAAAACTTTAACCTGAAGCGGGACAGAAGGACAGACGGACAAATGAACGAACGGACGCACAGACCGAAAAACATAATGCCCCTAGGTGGGGTATACAAAGCAATGAGGAAAAAATGCGTCTTTACTTGTTATTAAGACAAACTAGAATTGCAAAGTAAAATTTGCATTTGACCACATTTTGAAGGACTATGCAGTATGCATGTATATTGTCTATCTGCAGTTTTGTCAGTTATTTTCAATGAAAGATAAAAAGATAAGCAAAGAAGAAAGGCCTTCAATTTTTAAAAGAAACACAAGAAAAGCAGAACTGTACAAAAATGATACTTCAGAAATCATTTTGTTCATATAAAAAGAATATGTCATATTTAAAGAAAATATATCTATATAAGATAGAACAGTTTAGGAAATAGTGAAGTATCACTCATTTGAATTAAATGAATTTAAATCAACAGCTCAAACAATAATATAATATTAGGAGCAAGTTTCCTGTGACATACATGTTTGCTCCTTTGTATACCAGGAAGCAGGTGGTTTCCTGTGACATACACGTTTGCTCCTTTGTATACCAGGAAGCAGGTGGTTTCCTGTGACATACACGTTTGCTCCTTTGTATACCAGGACACAGGTGGAAATAATCTCAAGAATGAATAAAGAATAATAGTTATTTCATTCCTAGGAGAAGAATAAAGATATCTGAGGTGTCCAACTGTCCTAATACTTAAAGATCTTCTAAGCTTAACAATGTTATACTAACTTTATTTTTCAATCTATTTCATTGCAAAATTTCCTTACTGATACATGCTATCCATGTATAAGTATAACTAACTGCAAAAGGCTGTAAACAATTCTATGTAAAACTTAATGTCAAAAACTGTAACAGGCAAAAATGAACATAGTGAAAAAATAAAAAAATAAAATGCTTCGCTGAGCGCAGCTGGATACGACCGCAGAGGTCCAACCCTGAACAGTTGGGGCAAAAATGGACACAATATTCACGCTTGATACAGAACTGAATTTGGATTGTAATTAAATATTTGACACATAATAGGTTTCTGACACAGAATAACTGTAATCAAAGAACTTAGAATTGGTTATATGATTTGAATTAATATTCAATTTTTTGCTTTTGTGCAATACACTGTGCCTGTGTGAATTGACATCCCCCCCCCCCACCCCCAAAAAAAAAATAATAATAAAAATTAACCCCCTTTTTTGTTTGCTTTTGTGCAATACACTATGCTGTTGCGTATTGAACCCCCCCCCCCCCCCCCCAAAAAAAAAAATCCCTAAATATGTGAAGAAATTTTGTTTGAAATCTGAAATGAGAAAAAAATTGCCCCCCCCCCCCCCACCTTTTCAAAAAAAAAAATTCTTTCCCTCAAGATATGGTCATAATCTCAATTCAAATTTCCAATGAAGTTTGCAACCATAATTACCCATTTAAATACATCATAAAAGTCTTAAATAGATAATTTAAAAGCAGTACAAGGGAGGTAATCCAACATTGTACAATTTTGTTTTTGGATTACCTCCCTTAAATTGTCCATTAACCAGGAAACCCTTGTTTTTTCCCCTTTTTTGCCCCTAATACCTAAACGGTTTGAGCCATAACCCCCCAAAGCCAATCCTAACCATCCCTTTGTGGTATGGAAACTTGTGGTATAATTTCAGAGAGATCCATACACTTAAACACAAGTTATTGTCTGGAAACTAGAAAAAATGCCTTTTTGGGCCTCTTTTTGGCCCATAATTCCTAAACTGTTAGGACCATAACCCCCAAAATCAATCCCAACCTTCCTTTTGTGGTATTGAACCTTTATGGTAAAATTTCATAGAGATCCATTCACTTAAATTAAAGTTATTGCACGAAAACCAATGTGTCTTCGAACGACAACGAAGACGACGCCAACGTCATACCAATATATGACCTATTTTTGCGGTCATATAAAAATGGACAAAAATATTTACAATCAGCAATATAAATAGATTGTCAGGCTCAAAATTAAGAGTAAGTTTGGTAAACTGTAACATTTTTTTCTTTTAGATGTGGATATCTGTCTTAACATGACAATGAATTTTAAGACTGAAAGCTTCCTTTGGCAAACTTTCTTGTAGTGCTGTTAGTGTGACACGAAGTACCTTTATATTTATCAAAACATACTTTTTATAAAAGTTAATTGAAATGACAGAGGTACAAATAATTGTTACATCTAGTACTTGTCACTGTTCACCTCTACATTTCAAAATCATAAAATATATGAACTGTTGATAATATGTTAATGTGCATTTTATATTAAAGCTTTTGTATACATGGTTAAAAACATTTAGTAAACAATTTTAAAGAAATGTATGGACATTTTTTGCCACCTATTTAAACCATGCTTACTCTCAAGTTGCATTTTTGACAGCCCAAATGGGCACCAACTTACGTGTAGGATGATTCAAAAAAGTGCAGCAATTATTGTTTGGACATTTTTCTATGCCCACTACAAAGAAAACATCTACAGTAATTATATAAATTAGCACTGTTCTGTATCACCAAAACACACAGAACACACATAGTGTGTTCAATTTTAAGTTGCTTAACTATCCTTAAGAAATCCCACTTCAAGTATGACTTTTAATTACCGGTACTTCTTTATAATAAAGGCAATAGTCTGCTAAGTTGAAAATTAGAATATGATGCAATATAGAAATAGGTTTTTTCTGTTTATCTTTTCATTTGATTACTATTAAGTGGGATATGTTTAAGGGGATAATATAGTCAGAATATTCAATTAAATTTGATGTAAAATGAAGATTGGAGACAGGAACAAGGGAAATAAATAGCTGTGCCATGAGCGCATGATATGCCCTTCGCTTTTTCAAAGAATAAAGTTCCATAACTCCTCAACGTCATATCAGAAATTTATAAAAAAAAAAATAAAGGGAGGTTATTTTGATAGATATAAACCAGTTACCACAGTTTCATGAAAACTGCTCAAAGCACTTTTGAGTTATTGTCCGAAAATCTAAAATTTATAAAAATCGAAAGGGAGCTTAGGTCAATATATATAAACAATTCACCAAAATTTCATGAATACTGCTGAAAGCACTTTTGAGTTATTGTACGAAAACTGGAAAATACCCCTTTTTTAATGAATTAAACCCCATAACTCAGAAACGTAAAATCTAAAATTTATAAAAATCGAAAGGGAGCTCAGGTCAAAATAGATATTAACAATTCACAAAAGTTTCATGCAAAATTGGTTTAAGCGTTTTTGAGTTATTATCCAACTTGTTGATGAAGGACGGACAGACAGACAATGGTATACCACAACACTTCCCGTAAACGGACATATAAAAAGAGAAAATAAAACCTCATGAACAGGTTTGGCCTTACAAATAGATTTAATTCAAACTCTGCAAAAATAAACTGATTTATAATACATCTGAGGTACAATATGGTGGCAAATATGTTTTCTGGACACCCTTGTCAATATCAGTATTATTCTGAGATATCATGAATGTTGTTATATACAAACATATTACTGATCTGCAAATGTCTCACAGGAGTCCTTGTAGTTCTAGACTAAAAATCATCAATATATTCAGTAGCCTTTCTTTAACTTACCAGAGTATTTTGTAAAAAGTATGAGTATTGATAAAGCTGTTCTGTAGAAAACTTTGACACCCTCCAACAAAAAACAATCAACAACACGAATCTGAAAATATAGAAATAACAATTCTTTGTAAAGTAACTTTGAAACGCTGGTATCAAGTCATTAAAAAATTGGCTAACTTCTATGTCATTTGGTCTCTGGTGGAAAGTTGTCTTATAGGCAATCATACCACATTTTCTTGTTTTTATATTTTAATAAAATTAATTTAGTCTATCATTACTTCCTACATATTTTAAATTTCTTAGCCTAACTTGTTCATTAAAATCTGTGTATCAACTCAAGAAATTAAAGTCTAGTATTATTACAAATTTACAGAAAAATTAAAAGACAATTTCTAAAACAAACTCACAAAACCAAACAAAAACTAACAGCAAAAACCACAATAATGGTCTCATTTCCATGTTATTTAACATTATAGCAATTTTTACCCTTGTTACCTATAGAATATATATATATACATATATATATTATACAATTATAGCCTTTGTATGAAGTCGATATGAGGTTATATCGACCTAAGAGAAGCATATTGACTGAGGACGAAGTCCAAGGTCGATATGCTTCTCTAGGTCAATATAACATCCTATTGACCTCAACCAAAGGCTACAATTGTTATATTATTAATCAACAACTATTGCATGAACAATGTAAAGTTGGGAATTTCTAAAATGTATTTTTAGTAACATGCTGTATGCCCTGTGCAATATGCTGTTTTTGACCTACAAAAAGCTAAACACAACAGTATTGACATGCAAACTAAGTAAATACAAATGTACAAGTGATCAAGTTTTAAAGAATCACAAATTCTTAAAAATATTCAATTAATAATATATATACATATACAACTGACCCACTGTTTATATATCAATACAAATGTTTATGGCAAAAAGGTGTGTTTACAGTGGCTAAACAATTGTTGGATTATGGGCAGGTTTTAAAAATAAGAGAAAAACATGTTACATAATTAGGAATGTTTTTCTGACAAACTTCAATCAATTCATTAAACCTGTTTTTCAGAGAGTCTACCAAAACTTTGGGTTAAGTTTTACCTAAATTTTGTGGAATTTATACTTTTTATATTGTGTAAAATACATTTAATCAAAGTCAAACAAAACTCATATAATTAAGTTTGAAGGATTTGAAGTTGTTCAGAATACTGCAATATTTTTAACCAAAAACTGTGTCTAGTCACATTTTTATTTGTAAAGAAATTAAAAAGTTAAATGCTCTTTGTAATTTTTTTAAAAATTCCTAATTTTTGATTATTGAAAAATAGCTAATCCTTATAATAATGAAGGGGTATATTCTTTATGTAATATTGGTGGCCAATCTCAAAAATATATCACAGAAAAGAACAATTTACCTTGAAATATAAGTAAAATGTTTTACATATAATACCTCTTCCCTCCAAATCTTTAATTCAGTTTAAATGAATTTGTTTCATATTTATACATTTCCTTTATCAATGTCTACAGTTATCTGTAGAGGACCATAGAACTGAAGACTGATTTCAATTCACATTTTTTGCAATAATTTCTTAACAAATTCAATAGAAGTGAACCTGAGCACATAACAAAAACATAAATCAAAAGAAAATGCTATTTTTTTTTATCTAAGATCAAACAAAACTTTTAATAAGTTGTTCGTAAAACAGACAAAAACCAGACCATAGTGGGTCGTTTGTTTCAACTGAATAAAGACTTCCACTTAAATTATAAACAAATGGAGAAATAAATCTTACTTCCTTTGTCATCTGACGATACTTTGTACATGTAGTTCATTGCATGTAACCACAAACATACATAATCCATAGACGCAATTCAAATAAACAAGCTAATAAATTTTGATATTTGAAGTTTTACAGAAATGGAAAACATTCTCGATTGTTTACAAGAAATGTCACATGAAGATTTGCAATGAAAGGTAAGTTTGTTGTTTATAAAAATATCCTTTGATTGACCATTCAGACACCTCCATACATCTCAAGACAGGTAAAAGATTATTACTGGTAATCACACATTATTATTTTATTTTTGTAACAAATGAAGGTTATAAATCAAACATAGAAATAAGATATACATTGGACACAAATGACAGAGTTACTTGTATTTATGTATTTATGTGCTTTCCTCACTGTTTTTATTTAATATATTAATTTAAGTACTCTTCTGAAGTCATAAGATAAATGCAATTTGTCACTCTCACCCTGAAACAAGAAATTATAGGCCTGAGAAACAATGATTCTGAATTGTGTGAGACTAATTTTGTTTGACTTCATGACATTTTTATTTTTATCACTGACTCAATTCTTAAATAAGTTATAAAAAAAAATCAAAGAGCTGATAGCTCTGAGGTGGAAGAAGATGCATAAAAGGTAACTTGAATTACCATGAAAGCAGCCCACACCAACCCAGTCTGCTTTGTTCCATTATTGCTTTGACGTATTCTTTTCTTCCAGAAATAATATTCTTTAATAATATTCATGTCTCAACCAAAACTGACTATACTAAACTAAAATATCTTCCAATACTGTAGATTCAAATTAAATTTTCTATAGTTCCATACATTCGTCTCAGCATGGTCAACTTGATGGAAGCAATTATACTAGTAATTGATTAGGTTTCACTTGAAAGTTTTTCTGTCAAAGGTAGATAGTTCACTTTGGGTATTCCAACTTCCTTCGTATAAAAAAAACTGGCCACCATGATTTTAGTCAAGTGTGCTTAAAGTAGGGTTTAACATCAATCAGTTAATCATGAATTGTTATAGTTGTTCACAGTTACTTGTTCTTCTCATTATAAACATATATTGAAAAATGCTAAATATCTCCAATGCAGATTTGTCTGAGGTCAGGGATTGGGTTTTGAGCACTTGTTAACCTTTCAAACCCGTTCATTTTCTGTATGTGCTTGACCCACTAATTTGCTGTTGTTAATAATATTTGTTTTTCATCTAACATGTCTGATATTTTTACACAAAAGTACGAGGGTAGGAATGCCCTTTTCCGTCAGGCGTCAAACAGTTATTTTCTGAAATGTTTCATGAATGATTGACGGCAAAGAATTATTTGTTCCGTACTCGAGGGTAGTAATGGGGGTACCTTCATGACGAATAACGGTAAAAAGCTGGACTATTTACATGTTAAATCCTGTTTTTGATCACTTAAAACTTTGAAATGTAAGGCAATAAAGGTAATCATTGGGAACATTCCGACATTGATTGACATAAAATCTACATACTTTCGAAATGGATTCCGTTAACTGACATTAGTTCGTACATTGAGATTTAAGTGTGCTTTTGACTCTTTATTAACGCAATAACATACTGAAATATTCTATAACTTTCGTTTTAAAAAACGCATGTTTTCTAAAACCAGAATATGACTTGATTGCGTTAAAGATCTGAACACAGACGGAACAACTAAATCCGTGTATTTTTGTCAAGCATCATTGAGTTGAAATCGTACTCTCCGCGTAGATACTTGAAATTAACATAAGATGCATTGTTTGAATCAATGAAAATTCTGTTGATCATTATTTTGAAACTTTCGGATGCACAATTAAATTTCCCATTTATGCACATGTGCAGATACGAAATCAACGTGGTTTGGATTAACCTGAATAATCCAGTTGTTTAATTCCAATTACTCCAACGAGAAACGGCAGTGGATAGAAGGCACTGAATCATTCAACTTAGTTTCGGATTATAATTAAATTAATGCATGCATACTACCAAATCTACTTTAAAAACATCTGGTTACAAGTAAATAATAAATAATGTACATGTAAGATGAGATGAAATCTTATAATTGACATAATAAAAAGGTAGATATTAAAACATTAAAACATGAGAAATTATAACACTAACGATAGAGATTGTTTTTCAAGTCTAACTGTACATTTGTTTTATACAATGATGCAGATGCTATTTGACAAACTCGAAACCGATCATGTGTAAACATCAGTGTCAAGATATGGCACGGTAGTTATGAAATAGTAAAGCACAGAAAAGGATACGGCAACACTCCTGGTGACGGTTCAATGATTTTACAGCCGGCAGCATAGGATTTCAGAAGACTTTAAAGTCTTCTTCAACCAAAAAAAAAGAAAATTTTCAATCTGTTTCCAACCTTTTTAAATTGGATCTGTTTGTGTATATTGCAGCAACAATGTACCATCATACATGTATTATGTTCAAACTACCAATGAGAATTAAATGACAAAGCATTTTGTTCATTTCATACTAGTTCTGTGTATTATACTCTTTATTGTATGACAAACATTTCCAAAATAGGAATCAAAAATTATTCAGAGAAGGTCCATGGTTTGTAGCCAGAACCACTATTTTTTATTAGCCTAAGAAATGTTAAGTTTTACCATAAAGAATTTAGTTAACCAAATTAAAGTACTAGCCAATGTAGCAAATCATAAAATTATCAATTATTTCTAAATGAAATGCTGATAAAGAACTTTCATTATTGGGTGTTAAACTGTTGTTTGTGTTTAAAAAAAAAAAGAATTCTATATGTAAAATCTTTTACCAAAGTTTTAAAAAAATTAAAAGAAAATGTTTTCACATCCTTCCTATTACTTGTCTATAGATATAAGAAGATGTGGTATGAGTGCCAATGAGACAACTCTCCATCCAAGTCACAATTTGTAAAAGTAAACCATTATAGATCAAAGTACGGCCTTCAACATGGAGCCTTGGCTCACACCGAACAGCAAGCTATAAAGGGCCCCAAAAATGACTAGTGTAAAACCATTCAAATCAGTACATGCACAGCAAAAAACACACAAAAAGCAAAGGGACAGCGCTTTTATTGCTGTTCTTCATCTCAAAGTTACAGTGAGGCCTTCAACACGGAGCCAAAAAAAAAAACTCTCACCTCACTGCAAGTTTAAGATGGCCCTAGCACCAGACCATATAAAGCTGGTATGTTAGGCATCTCTGTATTCAGTTTGAAGCAAAACTTGTAAGGCTCTATCCATAATCATACTACTGTGTTCATTGTGTAGAACGTTTTACTTTTTTAGCTTGAGAACCTATGACTCTGACAGTTTATACAATATCACTTCTTACCAGGTAATGAAATGGTAATCCAGAAAATAACCACCATAACCAGGAATCAAATACTGTATCTATATCTTTGGTGTTACAGTTCCGCACTAAATGGACATAAGCTGATTTCTGAAAATATATAATACCACTGTTCCATTATGTAAATACATGTGTTTCATTGTCAATTTCAGATGGACAGCAATATAAGTATTTTATTTTTGCTTTGAGGTACAGATTTTGTATCATGGATCAACACATCATATCTTTTTTTTTAAATATATGTATATCTGTTTCCAATATTTCCCTGCAGATAACTATAGGCATTCATGTATATAATGTTGTCCTCTAAATGACTTTTGTCTCTTGATGTTTTGGGTTGCTGCCTCATTGAAGTAAAACTCACCTCTCCTATTATACATACAGGAATAATTTGTTTCTTGAAATAATATTTTTTTTATCTAGATAATCATTTATTTATATAATAAACTTACAGCAAACTTTTTGGTGAGATCCCTCATAACCCGTTTTGATGCTTCATAAGCCACTTTGGTCTGTATGATAAAAGTCTCTTTGGATGTCAGTAGTCCATAAATACAGTTGTAGGCATCTGAAGGAGTCATGTAATGTAAAAATAGGCCAAGTAAGGGATATAATAAGGGACTGTATGTAATATCTGGATTAGTATGGTGTAAGATTGCCAGTATCTTATGTAATTGTTGAACTCCATCCTCAGATAAATGGTAGCTGACTAAATTGTCAAAATCCACAAATGAAGGTAACTGAATATCTTTAATTTTTCCTGAAAAAAAATTACAAACAGCATTATAGCATCATCATATTATTTTTAGGAACTTAATCCTTATACATGTATATGGCCCGAGAACATATCATACTAAATGCAAATCAAAAAATCCCACCTACTTATTCTTAAGATTTTTCTACCAGATCTTATCACTTCGATTAATTCTATACTTTAAAATTCTTGAATCAAATTTTGTTTACATGTAATTTCATCCCCCTACTTACTGTTTTATGAATAAAATATAAAGAAATATATTTGCAAGTACCACACTAGCAGCACTAGGGACTAGGGACTAGGGACCATATTTAGGAACATACTTTACATAAATATACATGAAGGAACTCAAGAGTAAGATGCCTTTACCATTGTTTACAGTTTACATTATATTTAAAACAAGAGGTGTCCAAGAGCCTGAATTACTCACCTGTTCATTGCAGTCAGTTATGTTTGCTTATTTATAGATCTTATTTAATGTAATTTTTGTAAGTCTTGTATTGATTTTCATTTTTACTGCTTACAGCTGCAGTTTATACGATCTATCAAAGTGTTTGATATAAAAACTTGTCATTTAATTTAACATAAATACTAAGTCTGATAATTTGGCCATGTTGACTTACTTGTAGATCTTATTTTGCTGATCTTATATATGCTTTTCAAAGTTTTTCTCTTACTCCTATAGTTTTTGACAAAAATACAAAAATGAATAAAAATCATCATTCAGGGGGAAAAATTCTATAGGGAGCCGGTTTGAAATTCAGCCATGAAAAATTGACTCATTTGAAGATCTAAGTGTGATTAACTTTTTTTCTCTCTTAGTCTGACGTCGGTTTTACTTCTATCTGTAATAATTTGTGCAGAAACTAAAAAAATGGAAAATATCATCTTTTAAGGGCAATAACTCCCCTCAGAGGGCACTTGACAATTTCAACCAGCACATTTACTGTATCAAAGCCAGAGACTTACTTTAAAATAGGATTTTAGTTTCTTTTAAAATATTTTGTTTAGAACTTACACATTCTATATATAAGTTTCTATCAGTACATTTACATTATGTATATCAGGGGATCAATGTTCTGTGAAAGTACATTGTGTTCATTTGTAATATCAATGACCTCTGTTTGTAGTCATCATACTGTAATAGCTATATATAGATGGACAGGATTGTCTGTATGAAATGAACATTTAAGTTACATACATACATGTACATAACATATACATTTGTGTAAACTATTTCTTTATTTCAATTTACCATTCATGCAGACACAAAAATATCATGCCTAAATATATCTTGTTTGGATAAAGAAAGATGTTTTCCTATATTCAGAAATGTATGTACATGTACATATATATCACATTACATGATGAAAATTTCACAAACTGATGGTTATAGTCTGTAGTTCAGTGGTTCAATGTCGTTGGTTCATGTCTGTTATATTTGTTTTTCGTAAATTGTTTTGTTATAAATTAGGCCGTTGGTTTTTTTTGTTTTTGTGGTTTTGTTATTTTTTTTTTTTGTGTGCTTTGCATCAATCTGATTAGTTAATTAAACCCTTTTCAACTGTTTTTAAAGTTTTTTCTTATCTTGTGCTGTAACACCACTGTCCCAGGTTAGTGGGAAGGTTGGCGCACTGGCAAATATGTTTAACAATGCCACATTCTATATGTGCCTGTCCCAAGTCAGGAGCCTGTAATTCAGTGGTTGTGGTTTGTTGCTGTTTATCATATTTGATTTTGTTTTATTGCTTTTTACATAAATCAGACAGTTAGTTTTCTTGTTTAAATTGTTTTACATTTTTCATGTCAGGGCCTTAAGCTTTTATAGTGGACTATACGGTATAATTCATTGTTGAAGGCAATTATCTACAAAGTTTCATGAAATTCTGTTGTCTGGTTTTAGAGGAGTTGCAATGACAAGGACTGATGGACTGGCGGGTCAAAAACATTATACCCTACTTTGTTGCATGGGGTATAAATATACCATCATATATGTAAACCTATAAAGTACAAGTTACATCCTTCAGATATTCATTATTCACAATATATTTGTATAAGGCTGTGACCTATATTTGCCACAAATTATGTGTAAAATTGCCCAATTTAGGTCAAATATGTCCATTTCAACATGTGTATGATGTCACAGAAATATCACAACTACCAATTCTGTACTTGGAGTGTCCAGATTGTATCACTCTTTTTATTTATTAATGTACAGTATATATGTAACTAATGTAATATTGAAAACATTGAACAGTCTCACTCTTTTTTTTTAAATTTTGGGGCAATTCAAGATCAAATCTCCTCTGTTGCATAAAAAATTAATAAGTGATATGTATACCTGCACATGAACATGTATACAAGAAACATATCATCTTGAGTTATAGGTTTCATATATATATGTAAGCTGCAATAATTGAAATTAGGCATTAGGCTTAAATCCTAGGCAATAAGCTAACGCCTAGGCAGTAAGTCTTTTACCTGAATGATGTTAGGCATCATTCTTAAATCCTAGGATTGTTTTGGATAAAATGGGTTTCACTACTACTCCCTTCCCTAAATGCTTTTTTTCATGTTACAATTTTCACAAAGTGAAAGAAATAGTTTGATGGAATCGCTAGATATTTGAGAAGCCATGGTATCAAGGGGTAAATTTACATAGTCATTATTCAGTTGTTGAATTATACGGTCTCTGTCGACATGACCTGTGTATGTCCCCTTTCAAAAGTACCATACAGTTCCTCTAGAAAAATATAAATTTTCAAATTTTCCTAACATTCTCCTCTACTTTACTTTTGAACCTTTCAAAGCCTGCAATAGTTAAAATGTCATTCCTTTTTTAATTGTAAAAGTCTATAGTTGCCATCTTTTCTAGGGGTTCTAAAAGTTAAAAGTTTAACCTTGCCAAAAGATCATTGTGCTGAATTGGGTATATACTCCTTGTTTTCCTTAATTCAAATTGAGACCGCAATTATACAAGAAATTTGTCTTCAGTAGACATGTCACTTAAATGCTAACAATCCAGAAAAAAAAGTGAAAAAGACGAGAAGGCCAGAGATATTTAACGAAATGTTTAACCATATCTTTGACATATCCAATAAAATAAATGGAAAGATGATGTGAGCAAAAAATCACATCTACATTTGTCTACTTTGACCAGACCAAAACCAGCTCGACCAGTGAAGTGTAAATTTTCTTCAAATACTATTCAGATGAATCTTTCATCACCTTCCTTTCATTAGATACAATCACTTGTTTGAAACATATTAATTTTGTAATACCACAAGGAAATACAAGTTAATTCTGTTATGAATATGGAAAAATACTCAAATTAGAAGATCTGTTAAATAAATGTATATTAATATTTAAAATATAATTTAAACAACACTTTAAATTTTACATCAAGAATATTAAACCGAATGTACATATGTAAGTGATAAATTTGTCCTGGTAAAATATGTCCGGGCGGACACATATTACTAGTATAAAAAATCCATGGTTACAGAATTTACTAGTATTTTTAGTCCGATGTTAGTAATTTATGTCCTCAGACTAATTTTCCTAGGAATTCAAGTCCATGTCATTAATATTCCTAGGTAAAAACGTCCATGTTCTTTTTTTAATAGGAAAAATATTAATGAATCAAATCATTTACATTTATACAATATTGGAAATTTAAATATTAAGTTTTAATATTGTTTAAGAGTTGTGTATTTATATTTTTAATAAAATTCATGTCCCCAGAATAATTTTCCTAGGAAATCATGTCCATGTCATTAATATTTCTAGGTAAAAACGTCCATGCCCTTTATTTTAAAAGGTAAATATAAATGTTATGTTTTAATATTGTTTAAGAGTTGTGTATCATTTTTTTTAATATAATGTTTGTCCTCAAACTAATTTTCCTAGGAAATCATGTCCATGTCATTAATATTCCTAGGTAAAAATGTCCATGCCATTTATTTTAAAAGGAAATTTTAATGAAACAAATTATTTACATGTAAACAATGGAAATTCGATTTTTATGTTTTAATATTGTTTAAGAGTTGTGCATTAATATTTTAATAAAATTCATGTCCCCAGACTAATTTTCCTAGGACATCATGTCCATGTCACTAACATGCCTAGGTTATAACGTCCGGCCATGTCCTTTATTTTAATAGGAAAAATTAATGAAACTTTCCAATCTTAACTAAGAAAAAATGTTGTTTTTTTATTTGCAATAATTTTTAAAATATAATAAAAATTACTAGAAAAACAAGTCTTAGGACAATTTTTCCTAGTTAAATAAGTGCCAGACATATTTTACTAGCTATGGACTTATTTTCCTAGGAAAATTTGTCCTGGGACTTAAATTCCTAGTAAAATAATGGTCATGGACTTGATTAACTAGGAAAAAAAGTCTGGCGGACAAATTTTACTACCGGACCAAATTTACTGTTACACATATACTTGAAAGATAAAACAAAAATCCCAATGTTCACTTTTTTTAGTTATTGCCTGAAATGAGGTTTGGCAATAGGTTGAATAATTGTCATCAGATTGCACGAAATAAGCTTAATGCCTGAAATTAATAACTTAATGCCTAGGTTTTAGCTTATTGCCTAGGATTTAAGCTTAATGCCTAATTTTACTTATTGCCGCTAACATATATATATACATACTTTCATTTCCTTATAAAAAGTACCTTTTCATTACATGTAGATACATTGTATACTAGAGCCTAGAGGTAGGGTAAGCTGGCTACACATCAGAAAACAAACATAATATTGCCTTGTTCCTATAAAGCTAGTTAGTTTAGAAAATGAATAGTCATTAAACTTAATATTCTATGATGTTTTTATTTGTATCATGTCAGTGTGGTGATACAGAAGATGGCAGTCACCAAGATTACAGGCAAAATGTTAAATTAAAATTTTAACATATTCAGAATTATGCTCTTCTTCAAATAACTGTTATTTTTTTTTTAAACTGAATATGCCCTTTAATTAAATATATTTACCATAACAAGTATACTTACTGTCACCTAGTAGATCTCCTTCTAACTCTGTGTACACATCTCCTTTAGCTTTATGTAAATATTTACAGATCTGCATCCACAATGTTTCCCGACACAGGTGATTTGGTAACCAACTGTTTGTTCGTAATACATGTTTGACTACTGCCAGATCATTGTTTTTCAATCCAGTCATTACAGCACCATAACTGTCATAATCGTTGGCATTTGAGGTGTAATATTCCTCAGAGAATGTTATCTCTCTTGCAGATTTGTCAACTAGTTCAGAGAATCCTGATCCCTCTGCCTCTGCAGCCACAATCTCATACTGATTATCATCTAATTCTTCCAGTTTATTAACTACTTCTTCCTGACTATTAACTACTTCTTTCTTTTCTTCTTTCTCATTTTTATCTACTTCTTCCTTCTGACTATTCTCACTGATCGATTTGTCTCTTTCAATAACAGCATGCATATTTCTACCCCATTTTTTTACCCAATTTTCACATGTTTTTTTACACTGTATCCATTTTTTCAATTCCTACTTTATGGCTGTTTCATTATTTTTTTTATGTCTTAAATGTGTAATTTCTTTCACCTGAAAATAAATAAATCCAATAAAATATTCAGTTTAAAATAACATGGATGTCTACCCTTTAAACCAACCTCTTCTCAACTGTTTATGTTTATAGTTTTAAATAATCATTTTCTTTATTTTCTGTGTATAATAAATACATGTACATGCTGAAATGATTAATCTGTGCAAGAACAAAAGTAAACACAGACAAACAATGACTTCAGACAATTCTGTATGACTTGTCACAACCCACCTTGTAATTATCCTCAGGACAAAAATATTAATTTATATATTCATAATATTACATACAATAAAAATATACGAATCAGCATAAAACATGCTATAAATATTATAAATTTAAATATAGCAGGTATGTTCTGAAATCCAGACAGTTATATACCTCAGCAAATAAAAACTGTTTAATCAAATATATTTACTGCATACATATACACTTAAGATACATAAAAAAATTCAACATTAACAATTTATGTGTTCAGTATTTTCTTTGATGGTGAACTATATATCAAGATGTTTCAAATCTGTACATTTATTGTGTGCTTGTTGTATCATGCACAAACTTGATAACTGTATTACTAGTATCTGCAATGATCTCCATTTTAATTTCATTCTTAGAAGTGTATACATATACCTCTCCAAAATAAATTCATTAACATTGTGCAAAATGGACTTATTATGAAAAAATATTAATATTTACTAAGGGACATAAAATTTATGCACATACATTGACCTTAACTTATATACAATGTACCTTTAGGAAGGACATGCATGCTAAAGTCATTATGCAATTATACCTATAAATACATGTAATACTTAGTCTTTTCAAGATAAGTACTGGTAGTATGATAAATACTCAATAATTGTGAGGCTAATTGGGTAGTGACTTTCATTTTATAATAAGACAAAAGAAACAGCTAAAAATTGAACCGAATCAAATAGCTCATACTTGTATGGTGGAAGACACATCTGACAGCTTGTAAAAGCATGATGAAAGATACATTCAATACCTCATACATGTATGATGGAGGACACATCCAATGACTGGAAAGACACATCCAACAATTCATGCATGCATGTACGAATAAAGATACATCTGACAACTCATACATTTAAGATGGAAGACTAATCCTATAGCTCATACAAGCAGGATCAGAGACACATCTGACAGCTCATACATGTATGATGGAAGACACATTCAATAACTAATACATGTATGATGAAAGACATATACAATAACTCATACATTTATTATGGAAGACACATCTGATAGCTCATATATATAAAATAAGGAGATATGGTATGATTGTCAATGAGACAGCTATACACCCAAATATGATGAAAGACACATCCAATAGCTCATGCATGTATGATGAAAGATCTTAATCCAAATATTCAAAGAACCTTGCTGAAGCAAAGAGTCTCATGTTTGATTTAATCTCATAGGTGAAAGTGCATAATATCCAAAATCATCAATCAAGGATTAACATGATATATTTAAGGCAAAATTTCTCAAAATCTACAAATATATGATTTTTGGGAAACCTAACCTAAAATTTTGACTACCGGTAAGTTTGTTCTGCTTACAGAGAGGAAAAATTTCTTTCTTCAAAACAATTTATCAAATGTTTATCTTACTTATCCTACGACTTCTAGTGTGTTTAAGGGGAAGTAACCAAAAATATCTTTCTACCACTTTTACATGTACTCTTCAATTTGTCACATGCAACTGAACACAAGTTAATACCCCTTTCAAAATCAAATCAAATTAAAAACATACAGCCAAGACATTTCAGCAAACTGTCAATTCTAACCACCAAAGTGCTATCTACCAAGGTAGTTTTCATTATATACTGTAAACCAATATATTTTCACGAATACTAAATTTCCCATTTAACCCTTCTTAGTCGACTTAGTGGTAATTTATTTCCATGATTTTCCAATATTGCTGTTGTATTTATATTATACAATTATATTATAAATCGAATATTTCTAAGAAATTGTAATTCGTTAAAACTTGATCACATGTACATTTGTATTTACTCAGTTTGCACGCCAATACTGTTGTTTAGCTTTTTGTAGGTCAAAAACAGTATATTTCACAGGCATATCTGCCAACCCTCCCGTTTTGAGCAGGAGTCTCCCGGACAAACGATGAAATTCCAGAAATCTCCCGCTTGCCAGTCCGCTCCCGCGCGGGAGTATAGAATCTCCCACTATCGGATATTTTGACCTAAACTGGTTCTCGGCTGACTATTACACTTTGTTCATATAGAATAACCTACGTTCGTTATTCTCTGGCTTATTCATTACTTTCAATAGAAATAAACAAGTAAAACTGTCAGCTACTGCTCACTGATGATACCCCCACCGAAATGTTTCGGTAAACAGGAAGTTGTTGAGTGATGAATCTAAAAACGCATTACACGGTGTAACTTACTTATATAAACCCTGAAACCAAATTTCAGAAATACTTATCAAGTAGTTCCTGAGAAAAATGTGACGAAAATTTTCAACTTGGCTATCATGTGTAAAATAATACAAGTGTTCAGTAAACAGGAAGTTGTTGAGTGATGAATCTGAAAACGCATCAAACTGTGCAACTTACTTATATAAACCCTGAAACCAAATTTCAGAAATCCTTGTCAAGTAGTTCCTGAGAAAAATGCGACGAAAATATTCATGGGACGGACGGATGGACTGACGGAAGGACAGACAGAGGTAAAACAGTATACCTCCCTTTTTTAAAGCGGGGGTATAATAAACAATCATCGATCATTTGAAAACTTTGGTCAGTAGTTTTTATGTTCGATATATAAGTAATCGAAATTCAGTTCTGCTATGTCAACTCCAACAAGATAGAGGTCTTTGTCTGGACCAAGCGGCAGTGTAAAAAAGAAGAAATAGATAACTGCAAATCGAAATGTCAAGCAGATAATCTGAATGAAAGATTTTCAATTTTTACGACCAAGTTCACTTGGCAAATGAATCTTTTTGCACATCAAAACAGTGTGACAGGGCATACAGCATGTTACTAAAAATAAATTCTAGAAATCCCCAATTTTACATTGTTCCTGCAATAGTTGCAATAGTTGTTGATTAATAATATAACAATATATTGTAGCCTTTGGTTGAGGTCAATACAATGTTATATCGACCTAAAGAAGCATATCAACCTCAGACTTCGTCCTAAGTCAATATGCTTCTCTTATGTCGATATAACCTCATATCGACCTCATACAATGGCTATTATAAGTTATATGGTTCGCTACTGACCCCCTACGGATCCATAGAGGGTTAGTAAAATCCATAGGGGGTGAGTCCGAAGGCCGAATCTCCTATGGATTTTATTCACCCTCTGAGGGGTATACTGAGGACAAAGTCAGAGGTCGATATATTTCTCAGGTCAATATATTCTCGTAATATACATTTTTTGTATTTGAACATGTGACTCTTTTTAAACCAATCAAATTAGTTAGAATATACACAATATTAATAGTATAAGGAAATATCAAAGTAGTACATATGTGTTATTTTCTTCCCTACAAAAGTCACAAAAAATAAATCGCTCACAAAAATAAGTTGGTAACGGTACTTCTGATTTAGATTATAATAATATTATTGTCACAATGTATATAACATTATCAAAAATCTTTTCTAGGACAGAAAAATGTAAAGTATTCTATTTGCATTATAAATTTAATTCTATAATATAGGTAAAGCACTGGAAATACCATCCTCTGTTTTTTTAGTTTTGTATTGTAGAAAAGCATAATGGCAAACCCAAAATAAGAATCCATTTTATTTATTTCAAGGTTTTTTCGACTTCAGTAGATTATGAGCTTTTCACATAGTATAGACACTTATCTATTGTTGAAGACTGTAATTGTTGACCACTAGATATCCTTTGGGGTTTTGTGTCATCAGGGTTGCTGTCTCATTGACATTACCCAACATCTCCTTTACTTCATAATTTCTAACATGCCAAAACAATAAACAAATATAATATACTGTTGACACAGATATATGTCTCGCCTGTATGTTTTTTTTTTAATAGTAAAAGGCAAAAGTAAAAATTAAAATACTTTCACATGTAAATTATGCAAAATATTCAAAATCAATGTACAATGACTAAAGATACAGGGCCAAATAATTTCCGTAGAAATAAATTATGCCAATGCTCATACAACTGCATACCAAATATCAACTCATTATAAGTGGTTTCCCTTAAACAGACCTAATCACATAGGAGTAATTTCGGTAAGGACAATATTTGGCCACGATTATTAAATTCAATGTTTCTAGATATAAATGTTTTAAGTTGAGGAAAAGATACATAAGAAAGTTAGATTTTTTTGTTTTATTTTGAAGCGTTGATTTTTACATCCCAAATAGGATAAAAATAGCCTAGGAAATATAGACTGCAGGTGTCGACAAACTAAATATGCAACTTTATAGAAAAAATCATTGATTTATCACAAGTAGTTCCTATCAATGACTTTAAGCAGAAAACTTTACAATTGTTGAAGCTGCCTCCTCTTGAAAAGTTAAAATTAAAAATGCAAAATGTTGAGAAGCAATTATTTAGTTTGAAATAAAATACAGAATCATAGTGCTTACTGTAAAAATAGAAAATATGAAATGATTCATTTCTGAAAATGAAATTCTACAACTCATAGGAAGTGATAATGTTGAGCATATTTCCTCATAAGCCATATACATGTTCTACTACATGTAGGTTAAAAGCATGATACATGTAAACATTTCCTTATTATATATATATGACAAAGGAGAAGGTATGATACAGCTACTTAGTTACTTGGCCTTTGAATTCAAAAATCAAAAGATATGTATGCTTCATATCTTTCAAACATTTCAAATAAAATGCTTCAACGAGCGCAGCCTGATACGACCGCAGAGGTCGAACCCTGAACAGTTGGGGCAAATTTGGACACAATATCCAAGCTTTATACTGTCTGAATTTGGATTGTGATCAAATTTTTGACATAATATAGGTTTCTGACACAAAATAAATGTGGTCAAAGATCTTAAAAATTTGAAAAGGGACATTTAATTTACCTTTTGGTCTGATATCCAAAATCTAACAACATGGTTAGATTCAGCATATAATAAATGGTGAATGTGTCCCCATGGACACAGATGATGCCCCCGCTTGCATACAACATTATAAAGGGACATAACTCAAGAACGATAAAAGTGACGCTACCCAAATTTGTACTTGATCTAAATATTAAGGTAATAAGTATTGTGTATAGGTTTTTATAATGTTTGGTTCGGGCAAACTTAAGTTACAGAACGGAAACACTAAAACCATATATGTAGCTGCAAAGGCCTGGCCCCCTGTGCTCCCTCCCCCCCAAAAAAAATCTGCCTCAGCTGTATATCTATAAATGATGCAGCTCCTTCCCATTGATATGTTTATAAAGTTTGATGTCAGGGTGTTGTGCTTTATCTATAAATGATGCAGCCTTTTTTCCCTTTGATTAGTTTATAAAGTTTAATGTCACGGTTTTGTACTGTATCTATAAATGATGCAGCTTTTTTCCCTTTGATAAGTTTATAACATTTGATATCTTTAATGTTTCTTGATAGCCATGCCATCATAGTGTATATTTCAAGAAGATGTGGTATGATTGCCAGTGAGTCAACTCTCCACCAGAGACCAAATGACATAGGTTAACAACTATAAGTCACTGCATGGCCTTCAACAATGAGCAAAACCCATACCGAATAGCAAGCAATAAAAGGTCCTTAAATGACAAAATCTAATCAATTAAAACATTGACAAACAAGAATAAATTGCTTCGCCGAGCGCAGCTGGATACGCCCGCAGAGGTCCAACCCTGAACAGTTGGGGCAAAAATGGACACAATTAGCGCTTGATACAGGTCTGAATTTGGATTGTAATTAAATATTTGACACATAATAGGTTTCTGACACAGAATAACTGTAGTCAAAAACTTAGAATTGGTTATATGTTTTGAATTTATATTCAATTTTTTGCTTTTGTGCAATACACTATGCTGTTGCAAATTGCCTCCCTCCTCAAATTTTTTTTACCCCCCCCCCCCCCTCTTTTTTTGCAAAAAAAAAATTTTAATTTCTGAAATCTGAAATGAGAAATAATTGTCCCCCTCCAATTTCTTTTTTACCCCCCCCCCCCCCCCCAATTTTTTTTCACCTCCACCCACCCACCCCCCCCACCCCACACCCCCCCCCCCCCCCCCCGCCCCCTTTTTCAAAAAAAAATAATCTTTCCCTCAAAATATGGTCATAATCTCAATTCAAATTTCCAATGGAGTTTGCAACCATAATTACCCATTTAAATACATCATATAAGTCTTAAAATAGAAAATGACATACATAATCATGGCTAAAATTAATATTCCTCAATCAGCATTTTTAATAGTAACTTCTAAAAATAAACTGACAGCTAATCACCTCAAGACAATACAACATTTCTTTATACATAATTTAAAAGCAGTGTAAGGGAGGTAATCCAAACATAACATTGTACTTTGAAAAAATTTTCCATTAACCAGGAAACCCTTGTTTTCCCCCTTTTTTTTGCCCCTTATTCCTAAAAGGTTTGAGCCATAACCCCCCAAAGCCAATCCTAACCACCCCTTTGTGGTATGGAAACTTGTGGTATAATTTCAGAGAGATCCATACACCTTTCCACAAGTTATTGTCTGGAAACTAGAAAAATGCTTATTTGGGCCCCTTTTTGGCCCCTAATTCCTAAATTGTTATGACCATAACCCCCAAAATCAATCCCAACCTTCCTTTTGTGGTTATAAACCTTGTGTTTAAATTTCATAGATTTCGATTTACATATACTAAAGTTATTGTCAGCAACTCGTCCAAGACATTGCTAATATAAACATATGATATAAGTTTCATAAAAATCTGGCAAGAATTGTACACATGAGAGTGCTAACAATGCAATTTTCCATATAATAAATGTTTCCAGGGGCATGACTCTTTTAAAAATAATTGTTCTGCACTGATTTTCGAACTCGTCCAAGACATTACTGAAATAAACACATAAAAATCTGGCAAGAACTGTACATGTGAGAGCGCTAACAAGACCGGACAGACAGACAGATGGTATTTCTATGTCCCCCCAATGCGTTGCGGGGGACAAAAAAAGGCTTTACTCAACAGACAGATACAAAGCACAAAATAAAACTAACAAAAACACAAAAGACACAAAGTACAGATCTGAGAGTACTTACAGCTACTGATAGCTAGCTGTAGTTCAAAGCCAAAACAACTAATGATATAAAAGAAGAATGTGTCTGAAGACATGAATGCCCCTGCTCATGCTTTGCAATTTTCCAAGTTAAAAAGGGGGCATAACTCTAGATCAGTGAGTGAATCACTGCCCAAATTCAAACTCTGTCTGCAAGTTTTGATTCTTAGCATTGTGTAGGAGTTTCATAAAATTTTGGTATGCAAAACATTAGTAAGCTGTGTGGAAATGAAAAAATTTGCAAATTTCCAAGTTATAAAGTGGCATAACTCTAGAATGATAAGTGACTCACTGCCCAATTTGAACTCTGTTTGCGAGTTTTCGCTCTTAGCATTGTGTATGAGTTTCATAAAATTTGGATGAGAAAAATTTAAATCAGAGTGCAGAAACGAAAATAGGACAGCTGAAATGACAGTAAGATGAAAAGATGGATGGAAGGAGGGATAGTCAAGGGTAACACATAATGCCCCCATCGCCTACGGCAGAGGCATAAAAATCATGTACAGTATCAGAGACTTAAATATCAATCAGAACACATCCAACTTCCGATGGATTGAGTTAAAGAGGTCATAAACAGTCAGAGCAAAACATGACCTTGTGCAATGCCAAAATATAAATAGGTATTGACAGATTGTAGGACCATGAATGTACATATGTGTATAACAATAATATTCAGTTGTGTTTTAACTTATTGATAACAAAATCAATATTTAAACCTATAAAAACAATATTCAAAGATCTAATAACAGTGTTGAATTGGTAACCTTGAGAATAAGTTTATTTTCTATTAAAGGAAAGATAAGTTTAACCTCTCTTATGACTGAATCTGTGGCAATATATTCATCATAAATCAGGAACTACAAAATAGGTTTATCAAATTGAAAAAAAAAAAATGTTGCAAAAAATAACATGTACACATGTATGGACTTATACTTATAGCCACAACTGACATACCGGTAATTGAACAAAAAGAAAATATAACAATTTACCCTTGAATGCTTTCACCATCTACTTATTCCTTTCAGGAAATGTATAAAACTATGTACTGTGTTACAGTACAAGTACAAATGTTTACACCTAATTAAATTCATTTATTTTTGTCAGTCAATATATATGCTAATCATTACATCACATATAAAAGGATTGGCATTTAACATAAACTATCAAATTAATATCACATTCACATTCATAACAATTGTTAATTTGTATTCCTTCAGCTCGGTAACCCAATTTTTCCTAGTGATATATAATATGTGTCAAACAGTATTGGCTTCAAGTTTCAAGGTGTTTTTTATTTTTTTTTTACATTTACAAATTTAAGACATACATGTATATAGGTCTTCTTAGTCTGTGAATTTTACAATCATATAAACTTGTCTTGCGCATTTCCCATTTCATGTTTAGAATACATGTACACCACTTTCAGTTTCATAATACATTGTCACAAGATGAGGCTAGACTTGCTAAAACTTTATTCAAAGCACAGAGTAGCTAGAATGGCATTTTCTGTCTATTCAATGTTGTCAAGTTTTCCGTCCTTGTGTATAAATGAAATCACAACTAACAGAAGACTTTAAATAACTTCTGCAAAATTATTTTATCATTCAATGTTTTCAGAATAAGCTATCAACAATTTAGATTTTCACATTTCATAGAAATATAATTATTAATAAGTCACACATTATTTTCTAAATTTCTACACAAAACACAGGGGCAGATCCAGCCATTTATAAAAGAGGGTTCCTAAACCAGGATAAAGGGGGTTCCAACTATATGTCGGTTCTGAACCCTGGAACCCCACCCCCACCCAGATCCGCCACTGAAACAGATAGATATTTCCCCAATTTTCAGAGGAGTTGCCTCCACCAAGTCCCAAAAGTCCTGTAAAAATGTTCGGATCAAAATGAAAGTGTAAATATGTAAGTGGACTTACTACACAAATGTTGACTTGGTATTAAGCAATTAATAATCTAGATTTTAATAAATATAGGATAAAACATAGAAGTTGTATTTGTAGCAAATGCTACAATACTACAAAAAATGGTCAAATTTCCTCAACTCCTGTAATAAACTGCTTCGCTGAGCGCAGCTAGATACGCCCGCAGAGGTCAAACCCTGAACAGTTGGGGTAAAAATGGACACAATATTCAAGCTTGATTCAGGTCTGAATTTGGATTGTAATTAAATATTTAACATATTATAGGTTTCTGAATAAATGTAGTCAAAGAATTTGAAATTGGTTATATGAATTGAATTTATATTCAATTAAAGATTTCTTGCTGTTGTGCAATACTTAGTAAATCTGTTGTCAGACTATAAACAAATAAAGTTCAATTAATTCTCAATGTCATATTAGAAATTTATGAAAATAAAAAGGGAGCTTACATCAATAGATATAAACAATTCACCAAAGTTTCATGAGAATTGGTGACAGCATTTTTGAGTTATTGTCCGAAAACTGGAAAATCACCACTTTTTTTAATGAATAAAACCCCATAACTCAGAAATGTAAAATGTAAAATTTATAAAATTCTAAAGGGAGCTTACATAAATACATACAAACAATTCACCAAAGTTTCATAAGAATTGCTGAAAGCATTATTGAGTTTTTGTCCGAAAACTGGAAAATCCCCCCTTTTTTTATGAAAAAAACCCCTGTAACTCGGAAACGTAAAATCTTAAATTTATAAAAATCAAAAAGGGAGCTCATGTCAATAGATATAAACAATTCACCACAATTTCTTGCAAGTTGATGAAAGCATTCTTGACTTATTGTCCGAAAACTGGAAAATCCCCCCTTTTTTTAATGAATAAAACCCCGTAACTCGGAAACGTAAAATCTAAATTTTATAAAAAACGAAAGGGAGCTCATGTCAATAGATATAAACAATTCACCAAAGTTTTATGCACATTGGTTAAAGCATTTTTGAGTTAATGTCCGACATGTTGACGACGGAGAGACGGACGGACAGACAGACAGACAACGGTATACCATAATACGTCCCGTAAACAGGCGTAAAAAAAATGGTAAAATCGAAATGGCAGTACAATAAGGTCAATTACACATGAGGGCAAACAATCCTACCAAATTACCATCTATGAGATCCTTCTGTAAAACAGGCTTAGAAGACACAGAGGAATTGTGTTCACAAGGTATAATTGTTACAGAGCAAAAAAAAATGGTCGAAGTCAAATTACTCCCATAAAAATTGTCAAATCAAAATGATAATACAGCATGGTCCAGAAAATATGATGACAAGTAATTCTACCAAGTATGAAAGCTTTATGTCAAACAGTCTCTGAGTATATATTGGCGTGTTTCATATGGACACCATTTCCATATCGCGACGCCTGAAAGTTCTGAAACTCAAGTACACCAGTTAAAATATCATATGCAACAATTCAAACCACTTTGCAGAACAAACTTACTGAATTTATTGTTAATTTATTCTCATAATAAATATAGATAAATATTTGCAAGTGAACCTGTAGTTCGCAAAAAATGTCTGAGAATGTAACACATATTTGTAATTTTTCATTTACTTTTTAATACATGTAATAAGATGAATTTCTAATAATTCATAAATAAGATAAAAAGGATAACAGCAGGAGTAACCAAAATATTGGACAATACAACAGACCACAAGTGACAACAACAAATGTATCATTAAATGTATATGTACCTGTTCCATTATCTTCTTGAATTTTGCTACATACATGTATTAAAAATATATTTCATGATCTATACATTAAGGTAAAATTACATGAGAGTAATAGAATTGGAAAAAATGGAAAAACATGTATCCTTTACCTGTCCTCTCTGACAAAAATAAATTGTAATATCTTTAAAAAGTTTGAACTCAAACTGACCTTAAACATACTTTCTTATCCCTTTAAGTCATATTCAAAAGATGATAAATGTCTAACATGTCCGATATGATTATGAGTGACCTTTAAATATTTGATTGGACTAAAGTATCTCACCTAAATTTTTTTATATGATGACATTTATCTGTCAACTATAATAAACAGTTTAAACAGTTTTGTTATTATATAATCTTTCATCGTTTTCTTAGATACAAAAAAATGTGTTAAATGTCAAGGTTCATTAGTTTCAACTGATTATCAATGCAGCAATAACTCCTACATGTATCAGGTCTATCAATATCCTATATATAGTCAAAGTGGTCATTCTGATAATTTTTGCTGTTTTAGATCATATGTTAGTTTGACATGTTTATTATAACATCACTATCAATACATGTATATCTGCACCAAATAACTGTCCCAAGTACTGCGGATTCATTTATTTTCGTGGATACCAATTTTCGTCGATTGAGGAAAACGTACATTTTCGTGGATATTTAATTTCGTGGTTTTGCCAAAGTCTGCATACAAGCCAATGGAAAAATTGTAAATCGTTGAACATTTAAATTCATAGTTCACCTGTACCCACAAAATCCACGAAAATTGGTATCCAACGAAAAATAATGAATCCACAGTACTTTGGATTCATTATTATTCTTTGGATACCAATTTTTTATGATCTCGTGGGTACAGGTGAACCACGAATTTAAATGTTCAACAAAATTACACATTTTCTATAAGCTTTTTATTCAGACTTTGGCAAAACCACGAAATCAAATATTCACGAAAATGCAAGTTTTCTTCAATCCACTAAAATTGGTATCCACGAAAATAAATGAATCCACAGTATATCATCCTATTTATATAAATGTCACAATCAGAAGTGTCCTTCCCCTCTAACATGTCCCCCCCTCCAAACATTTCTAGTCCACATTACTGTACGTCCAAATATGTCACGTTGGTGTTGAACACCTCTTTGAAAGTAGATTATCAAAAAATAAGATTTCCTTAGATCTGATTTCATTAACTGAGTAAATTGTGGTTTTCCTCAAATTCTTCATTAACTTTGTAAAAGAAAAGACCTTCAAGACATTTTATTTACTAATGAGTTACTGATAATTTGCAAGTCAATCTTCTTTGTTTTTTAAGTGTAATATACAAAGTTTTCTTTGATGTCAATGGGAAAATGAAGTTGGTATAAATTGAATGAACTCCAAAAAAAGTTGGATCAGGTGCATCTACTGGTTGAGCTAAGTGTGCATAATTGGCACCTACATATATCTATATATATATATATCTAGGAGAGGAATTTTTGTAATAATCAACAAATAAATAAAACGGGGTGAAAATCAAATTTGATAACGCAATCTTTTCCTTATCTAATATCTATTTATTTGAAAGCAAAACCCTGTTCTCTCTTCCTTTATATCATAGCATTCCAAGTCTTGTCTATCTGAATTACCACGTCTTTCCTACAGAAGTCACTTCTGGACAAATCAAGTATCTTAATTATTCATGATAAGATTTGTGCAATAGTCTACTGTATCACCTTATTAGGATTGTAGGTATTTTCATTCATAGATATTTCACCAAATTGTTCTGCTGAATACATTGAAGCACATGTACATTTGAAGTATTCTGCAATTCTAGGGTTGAAAAATCCATTTTCAGGTTGGTTTCCCGGAATTTCCAAGTAATTGCTAAAAGGAAGGATAGGAAGTAAAAAATCAACTGTTTAAATGTTACGGTCATGACTTATGGGCTCATATATTGCAGTATAAAGAAAACTTATTAGAGGACCAGACAACATTACTGAAGACAAAGAGGCTAATTTAGTGTTAAAATTAGACATGTTTTGGAAAGGAAATAATTCAGGAACGTTTGAGCAAAAAAAACAATGGTACATTATACATGTTTCAGGGGAATGAAATTGGAAATGTGATTTTCAAAAAGCAAAAGTTTGAATGAAATGAACATGTTTCAAAGGCCAGCAACAAAATTGGCACTGCAAATCTTTAAATCATGACTAGAGAGAGAGACCTCTTCCAATGTTGCATTTGATTCAAAGTGACTGGGATTGACATTTCTTGATCTTCAAATGTAATACATTTAAAGTGGTATCAATTAGCATAGGTTCTACTGACCATATATATATATATATATATATATATATACAGACTACCTTCGTAAAATGGAATCCATGAATCCTCTTCCTCCGGAAACTCTCAAGGATGGTGCAAGTCGTGTGGTAACAGACAATATCTGACTTCCCAAGCTGA